ATGATCATGCCATTTAATCAGCTTCTTCATATGCCACACCTGTCAGATGGAAGGATTATCTTAGCAAAGGAGAAATGCTAAACAAATGTGTGCCGAAAAATCAGCTTTTTGTGCATATGGAACATTTCTGGGATTTTATTTCATCTCATTAAACATGGGACCAACACTTTACATGTTGCGTTTATATTTTTGTTCAGTGTATATTTCCACACTATGAGGTTGGAATAATACTGTGAAATTGTGAAAATGATAATACCCTTTTAGTGTAAGAACTGTTTGAAAAGACCGCCTGAAACTAGGATTTCAGTACAGCGGGGGAGCGCTCAAGTACAGTAGGTGGCGGTAATGCCCCATAACGTTGGATGCCAACTGCCGATAAACCCCACAGAAGAAGAAGAGGCTAGCTAGGACAATGGTAGACAGTGTCCTTCGCCCCTGCCTGTCGGGCACTGCTAGTTCTGTTAATGATGGCGAGGGCAGGTGTTCGGCAAGTTGGAGCGAATAACACTGTGCTAGCTAGGAAGACTCCGGTACACAGCAGATACTTTTATTTCCCTTTTAACCCACATTTTAATAGCAAGGCCAATCAGGGAAAATACAGAATATCATTAGTGTCACAAGGATGAAGATGGCGTGCTCAAAGGGGGGCGTTCATGCAGGAACCAATGTGATGCTCGATGTGGGGCGTTTATTATTGTTTTGGTCTGCCTGGCAACATCACCAGGCAGTATAAGTTAATAGACCAATAACAAAGAGTTTCAAACCTCTCTGCCAATAACAACTCGTTTTCTGGTTACATATCCCTCTCATTAGGCTCCTCCAATTAGGTCCCTCACTCAGACTACTCCCAGACAGTCCTGCTAAATTCTTGCTTGTGAAATAGCTTTTTACCAAAAAGCTATTTGTTTCTTTTTGACCATTTTAATTGAAAACAATCACAGTAAGGTACTTAATTGTTACCCAGAAATGATTTGATATTGTGATAAAAACGGCTGCATTGGACGTTTAAAACCAACACAGTAAGTCCTGGAAGTGGTCCAACATCTTCCTCATCATAACAATAGAAAGCCTCTAGCAGCCACAAGATTATTTACTGGTGTCTGATAATGGTCTTTAGGTTAAACCTGTTTTATGTTTTGAACAAGTTTAGAAATGTGTGGACACAATCAGACATATGATCATCATCGTCGTCACTAGATACGGTAAACAAGCACACAGCTCGATGCAGTGACATCCCCAAATATTGCATCACCACCACTGTCAGAACCAGACAGATCACTTGCATGACATCATCCCGAATCAACAAACACCGCTCAATTCCAACTAAACACACTTTCACAATACAGTACAACGCTGGCTTTGGGGCCTTGAAGGACCAGCAGCATAGCACATAACTAGCTTGCTATACAATGGTCGTCTATTCTATGATTGCAAAAAACCTGTGCAGAATCAATAAAACAAGAGCACTAAAAAGACCACAGTAGTCAATTATCACTAACCTCAAAATACACAATATATCAACGACGAATTTAACATACTCTGAAACTGCAGAAGATGTCAATCAACATGTCAGAACTGAAGACGGGCACGAGCCTTTACCCACACTCCAAGGTTAAAGCGTGCTTATTCATATAGAGCAAATGAGAATCACACAAGAGTAATCTCATGCCTATGCGTAAACAGTCCACCATAACAGAACGAAGGCCCTTCACTAGAATTGAACTGGTTAACTGGCTAGCTAGCTAGCTAGCTAGGTGGGTGGGTGGGTGACATGTAAACCAGCACATCTCCACAAGGTGCGGGCAAAACAAACTGTGGCGATGCTAGCTAGCCACCATAGCTAAGTGGCCTAGTCTGGCTATCTGCGCACGTCAGTGAAACTACTAAACTGGACAGCAAATTTCTATGCGTTTGAACACGCACATTCACTTCTTGATAATACAGGCATTGTCACATGAGTGCTATTTACCTTTCTTACGCCTTTGTAGATATAAAAATACAGTTCCCGGCCCACATTGAAACAGATTCTGTCGCCGTTGCCCGACTGGTCGTTGACGTTCACGAAGGAGACTTTCACCGGATTCGAGCCCTGTGAATTGAAAGGCACCCTGTTAGGGCGGCTATATTCGGAGTGAGTGAGGAGTTTATAGACACCTTCCCGAGTGGTGAATTGAGTTTTAATTTCGTTCATCTCCTTCCCTCCTCCCTCCGCCGCCATCTTGGAAATTGGAGTTCATCCTGTCCAAAACCCGGATCTTACCGACAGAGCATGCGCTCGACAGTTGATTCTAGAACCCATGCGCTAAAAGCATCAAAGAAGTGAGAAGTGACGCTCCAGTTTAGCGAAAGCAGTGAGGTATTTCATAAGACGAAATTAACTTCTAAACCCTCGACAAAATACATGTAATATTTTCATCTAGTTTAAACGCTCTTGTGGAATTGCATGGATGTGTAATTTCTTATTGTGGAGAATGCGGTCTCTGTGGGGGTCCTTGAATCATGGTGGACCTTTGGAATATCATATCATGCTGAACACGCTCGAGAATGTAAAAAAAGAAGTCATCTTTCAATTTGGATGCGATCCCTTTACATGAAATGTATATTAATGTTGCGAATATGAATATTTGATTGGATTAATTACATAAATGTATGACCATTGAAATTGCATACTCTAGGCATCCAGTCCAATCATCAGAGTTGCAAGCAATTAAATGTATTCCTTATTGTTCATTATTTGTCCTGTCCAAACGTTCCCTGTAGCATGACCCTAGTCAAAATCTAATTATTCGGTCTCCTCTCGATGTTTCCATCCATCAGGGAAGATACAGTAACTTCTCCAAACAACTAGATTCGTTTTAATAACTCGCCTGTTGCTAATAGTGCCATCCTCTGGTCAGTCTTCGGTCAAGCACTGTGCAGTACACCCATGCCTGAGAATTCTGGTATTTTCCATAATTGTATGTGTTTCATGATTTGACAGAGATTTTCTCATCTCTTGTTTATGATCAATATGTGTATTGTATATGTGTTAGCTTCCTCATGTTACAGTCTTTCCTCACACAAAATCAACATATTGCACATCATGTTTATATCATCATTATAACTAAATCAGCAGTAGTGTCACCATTAGGACACAAAACATGCCCTCTTGTTGGGATTAAAACCACACAAAATAGTGTCTTTCTATAGGCCTACATGTGTATTATGGATTGGCGGGATCAAAGAATGTAGAAGTAAACTCTTTAGCCAATCTCATCACAGTTTCTGTGGCCTAGAACTGAACCGTTACTTTAACACATCTATTATTTCCCAATCTCACAGGCCCAAAAAAATACTTGTGGCCGGCCTGTTATCTTTTCAGAGGCCTTCTGCCCTGCATCTGTCTGTCCGGATGGTTCAATGGGAGCAGGTGGTGGGAAAGGCTGTGCACAGCTGTGACATCGCTGACAGGGAATGGGGGTGTATGGTGGGGCCTGGTGGGCTAGGCCTGACACACACTATCAGTACGCCTCGGGCCCCTGAGTGGCAGTCACCCCTTGTGACTGTACTGCCCTATAAGGACACATGCGGTTTATGGTGCGGACCCCTCACAGCTTTCACTATCACACCCACCCTACTGGTCATTTCTTTAACTTCTCTCTTACCCTGTACTGTGGTGGGACTGGACATTCCTTCTGGAAGCTTCTGAACGGGAGCTTTGAGAAAGCCGCCCCTTGTATAAAAAGAATGGAGTAGGCCAAGGGGTCCTCAGATACAGAAAGTGAGAAGACATTCACCTGAAGCCATAGAGGATTAGGAGCAGTGAAATACAAATATTTAAATACTACATTAATCTGCAGAGGAGCAGAAGAAACGCTCAGAGATTCAATCTACAGCGATCAGCAAACGAGAAGTGAAGCATAGGCGCTCATTCTTATCTATTCAAGGTAAGAGGGAGAGGGTGTCAGGGAGAAAGGCAAAACAAATAAGTAGCTACTTGCAATTCAGGGGTGCAAGGAAGATCAACAGCCAATATTCTGGAAATACATTATGCATTGATATTATAAAGGTGAAACACCAGCAGGAAGCAAGCAGCCTACAATATATTGGTACTCTAAATTGAATAATGTATCATGGGGATGAATTGTACTGTATTAATCTGAAATGACATTAAATCAGTGAGGAGAATTTAATAGACAGTTACCCTGGACCTGGTAAAACCCTTTGTGAGTGTATGGCAAGAGAGGAGAACATGGCATGGAATATGACCCTGGTTAGAAGGAGTGAGAGACATGGCTGTTGAAGAGAAAGAAGGGAGGCCTGGCAGCCAGCACACATAATTATTACAATCAAGTTATCTATAACAAATTATCAAATAATGCAATTATCAGACCTGAAAGTGTCTGATAATGGTTCATACAGTCAATTTGAAGCCAAGGACAAGGATGGATTCATTCATTCATTGAACTGGAAAAATTAGTTTTATGATCAAGCCTTTGATATTTTTTATTGATAAGCAGCTGCTTTAGGAAAAAGTATATTTCATGGGGAAGAGTGTTAATGGCATTTGATGAATACTTCTCAGTATATCAGTGCTTTTAAACAATCAGAACTTTTAAGAGCAACTATAATATTTTTGCTGAAAGTGAATAACATACAAAACCCTATACTTGAGAGGACAATGCAATGCTGAAGACACCCTATGGGTGGATTTACATTAGTAAAATATGTCTAGTGAGATTTATCTCTCTTCAACACCAGATTTGAAACTGTTCTGTTTACACTAGCCTTGGATGTGGTGTAGCCAAATCCACATTCCTGCTTAAAGTGTGACTGCAGCTATTAACATACTGTAAAAAACATAAAACAAAATAAGGATAGCAATTCAAACTATACAGGAGCTTCTCATCTAAACCATATTGCACATAGTGTACATATTGCACACTTTGTTAATGCAATGATTCACAAATGTGTGGATATTTTAAAAGCTTTTCATTTTCAATTTGGCTAACAGAGCAAAAATGCTGTTTACTGGTATTAAGGTAATTCTTGCAGGGACATGTGGTGTGTGAGAGCCATTGTCTTTACACTGTACCACTCAGAGAGGGATGTTGTGTAGATGTCTTGCACACTACCTGCAGAGGTAGTGTGGGAGAAATCTCTTAAAGAGAGATTTGAATATAGATCCGTCTCTTTACACTACACAAGTATCTCTCCTGGACCTAGTTTGTCGTCAAAGTAGTGTAGGGTAAAGAAGCTCTATTAATACAACTCTACATTACTCTATTCAAGCCAAAAGTATTGCTTCATCTTAATCCTCCATTTCAAAGAAAGGGTATCACATGGCACGACTGCAGCTGTTAGCAAGGGGGTGTGAAAAAGTCTGGAAACTCCAACCGCTTTTCAAATGGCAGAGGCCTTGATTGACAGATGTGGCCTGTGCAACAGGAGCCTCTGATGGAGGGCTGTAACAGGTGCCTCTATTCCTCAGTACTTCTATCCCTCATTGCCTCATTGCCATGTGGTCTGACTAGACTAGAGGCTTTCTACAAAAAAGCAGGTGTCTCTGGCTTTAAAAGCAGTAAAAAAAAAAGTCAAAATGTCAGACAATGACCATTAGTTATCTACTATAAGTTGTATTATTTTTTATTTAGCTGAAGCAAGACTTTTTGCAAAATACAACAAAAAGCCGTATGTGCTTTTCAAAAACATTTAATATGAATAGCCTTAATACAAGGATATTCATAATTGTTAGGATAATAGAAGCACAATGAAAATCTAAGTGTTGAGGCATCAAAGTCTCCATCAGGCTGAAGTACAATCTTTGCTATTTTGTTTCTCCTTCCAGATGCCAGAGAAAGCCGGCCACACCATGGAGGAGGAAGTGGAGACCTTTGCCTTCCAGGCTGAGATCGCCCAGCTGATGTCCCTGATCATCAACACCTTCTACTCCAACAAAGAGATCTTCCTTAGGGAGCTCATCTCCAACTCCTCAGATGTGAGTAGATTAATCATAATGCTGAATTGACCCATGTAACATTTTACCTTAGTAACCAGCCACTTATACACTGCTCTGTGAGCCAGTATAGTAAAAAAGCTATATCCCAGAGTTAGCTGCTAACCATGTTGTTAAATTAGCTCAAGGTATCAACAATTACACTTTTTTTTACCCTTGTGACCTCTTTTTACCATGATCTGACAGGCTTTGGACAAGATCAGATATGAGAGCTTGACAGACCCCACCAAATTGGATTCCTGCAAGGAGCTGAAGATCGAGGTCACCCCTGACCTGCGCACACGTACCCTGACCCTGGTTGACACCGGCATCGGCATGACCAAGGCCGACCTGATCAACAACCTGGGAACCATCGCCAAGTCTGGCACCAAGGCCTTCATGGAGGCCCTGCAGGCTGGAGCCGACATCTCCATGATCGGACAGTTCGGTGTGGGTTTCTACTCTGCCTACCTGGTGTCTGAGAGGGTGACTGTCATCACCAAGCACAACGATGATGAGCAGTACATCTGGGAGTCTGCAGCTGGTGGCTCTTTCACTGTCAAAGTTGACACTGGTAAGCCACTTCAACAGTATTGATTAATATGCTGCTACATTGACTTTTCTCCAATACACTCCAACACTATCAACCTACTTCCTGGATCAGTTGAATCTTCTTTTCAACAATGTAATTAAAAAGGAAGTAAGCTTAGATCCAATGACTAAGTCAGATTTTTCTGATCTGAAGGGGAGTCCATTGGCCGTGGCACCAGAGTGATCCTGCACCTCAAGGAGGACCAGTTTGAATACTGTGAGGAGAAGCGCGTCAAGGAGGTTGTGAAGAAGCACTCCCAGTTCATTGGCTATCCCATCACACTCTTTGTAAGTTCTAATAGAACTTTATATTTCTTTGGTTGTAACAATGTTGTAAAATATGTCAAGATTGACTGAAATCTACTGTATAAACTAGGAAAGTAACCTGTTGATAAAAGTGGACACAAACATTGCTCCCCATACTGGACAAATCCTACAACTTTTTAATAACAAACATTTTCGTCCAGGTGGAGAAGTCTAGAGAGAAGGAGGTGGACCTTGAGGAGGGAGAAAAGGACGAGGAGGCTGATAAAGACGCTGCAGCTGAGGACAAAGACAAGCCCAAGATCGAGGATGTCGGCTCTGATGAGGATGAGGACACCAAGGACTCCAAGAACAAGAGGAAGAAGAAGGTCAAGGAGAAATACATTGACGCCGAGGAGCTGAACAAGACCAAGCCTATCTGGACCCGTAACCCTGATGACATCACCAATGAGGAGTACGGAGAGTTCTACAAGAGTCTGACCAATGACTGGGAGGACCATCTGGCTATCAAGGTGAGTCACTATGATGGCAAACTGAAAATCAAAACTCAACCCTTAAGGGTTTGTCTTGATCCAACCTATGAAATAATATGTTAGTATAACTGTATAAGTCAACGTTTATCTAATTATTCCCACAGCACTTCTCAGTAGAGGGCCAGCTGGAGTTCCGCGCTCTGCTCTTCGTGCCCAGGAGGGCTTCCTTCGACCTCTTTGAGAACAAGAAGAAGAAGAACAACATCAAGCTGTACGTGCGCAGGGTTTTCATCATGGACAACTGTGACGAGCTGATGCCAGAGTATCTCAGTGAGTACTGTACCTTGAACCTTTAGCCTTTCGTGGATACGTCCTCAGCACCTCACTCAACCATGACATTGAGTAAAGCTGTAAGTAAGATGTCTGACCAATTGCCACTGTCTTATCTCCAGACTTCATCAAGGGTGTGGTGGACTCTGAGGATCTCCCCCTGAACATCTCCAGAGAGATGCTGCAGCAGAGCAAGATCCTCAAGGTGATCCGCAAGAACCTGGTCAAGAAGTGTATGGATCTTTTCGTCGAGCTCTCAGAAGACAAGGACAACTACAAGAAGTTCTATGAGCAGTTCTCCAAGAATATCAAGGTAAGGTCTTCCTCCCTTTGAAATGGATTTTCCAATTTCCCGCAGAACTTCTCCTTCTCTTTTTGAAGGACCTTTAGCTTGAACATTTTCCATCTTTGTGTCTAGCTGGGAATCCATGAAGATGCTCAGAACCGCAAGAAGCTGTCAGACATGCTGCGCTACTACACCTCCAACTCCGCTGAAGAAATGGTCTCCCTGAAGGAGTATGTTTCCCGCATGAAGGACACCCAGAAACACATCTACTACATAACTGGTGAGCTGCTCTCCATTTTCACTCTCCATTATTCTTCCTTTGTTAAATCAATGTGACAAATAAAACCAGTGTAATCTAACTGTTAATAACTGTGTATCCTCTTCTAGGTGAGACCAAGGAACAGGTCGCCAACTCTTCCTTTGTGGAGCGCCTTCGCAAGGCCGGCCTGGAAGTGATCTACATGATTGAGCCCATTGATGAGTACTGTGTCCAGCAGCTGAAGGAGTACGATGGGAAGACCCTTGTCTCCGTGACCAAGGAGGGTCTGGAGCTGCCTGAGGATGAGGACATGAAGAAGAGACTGGAAGAGCAGAAGTCTCAGTTTGAGAACCTCTGCAAGATCATGAAGGACATCCTGGACAAGAAGATTGAGAAGGTACAAGCACAATTTACCTGAACCCAATCCCTCTGCAATGTGTCTACGCCTTTTAATAACATACCCCTTTATACACAACTGTCAATATGTCTACTAATCACAGGTTTCAGTCTCCAACCGCCTGGTCTCCTCCCCTTGCTGCATCGTCACCAGCACCTACGGCTGGACGGCCAACATGGAGAGGATCATGAAATCACAAGCTCTCAGAGACAACTCCACCATGGGCTACATGACAGCCAAGAAGCACCTGGAGATCAACCCAACCCACCCTATTGTCGAGACCTTGAGAGAGAAAGCTGAGGCTGACAAGAACGACAAAGCCGTAAAGGACTTGGTCATCTTGCTGTTCGAGACTGCTCTGATGTCTTCTGGATTCACACTGGACGACCCTCAGACCCATGCAAACCGCATCTACAGGATGCTTAAGCTTGGCCTGGGTGAGTTACATGCCTTAATGCATTATTTGCCCTCAACTGTTGTCTTGGTTGATGGGGTTTAAAGGCTCCTCCTAGAGCAATTTACAGGACAGGTCTGTAAACACCAAGTAACTTATAGAACTATCATGGTATCACAATGGTTAGGAATATGGCTTTTGCTTTTCCCATACTTTGGCTGTCTGAATAGCAGATTGTACACGATGTGAATATGTTTTTCTAATGTGGGCTATTTCTTCCCCTCTACAGGCATCGATGATGATGACTCAGCAGTGGAGGACATCCTCCAGCCCAGTGAGGATGACATGCCTGTCTTGGAGGGAGATGATGACACATCAAGAATGGAGGAAGTTGACTAAAGATATTTCAGAAGTACATTATTTTTTCCCCTTTTAACGTTTTCTTTTTTAAGTTAATTTATTGTGTCCCAAATATACTTTACATTTTACATGACTGTCGAGTCGTGGGGAAAGGATTGTAATTAATTAATCATAATTAATTAATACCATAATCATATAGTATATCTGCTGCTTTCAACCTTATTCAACTGTAAAGGTCAACCGGGATTTGACTTGTGTCTTTTTGTATTTCTGTGAGCTATTTTCTATGAAAAACGACAAGGTTTATAATAAAAAAAATATCTTGAAACACTTCTTACATGTTTTCCCTTTATCAAATAGTCTGGATTCTTGTGATGGATGTTTATAATTCAATCTATTTTGCATCTTCATTCATACTTTTGCAATCACCTTACCCCCATAAGGGCTCCCTGTATTTCAGATCTTTCTAGAGTAGACTATTTTGCATCTTCATTCATACTTTTGCAATCACCTTACCCCCATAAGGGCTCCCTGTATTTCAGATCTTTCTAGAGTAGACTGGAGGTAAAAAAGTTTAGCTTAATCGTGAAATCTTATGAGGGTCATGAATGATGACGAATATCCCAGGTACAGTATGTACCCACTGTACTGATTTGATACCGCCACGCCCATAAACCCGCCTTCACCATAGAGTTAAATGAAAGAGGGGCGTGGACAGAGAAACTGTAGGGTTTGATTGATATTCCATCACTCCTCTCAGTATACACACTCATCATACACACAGTAGAAGCGTTAGGAAGATTCCAGACGGTTCTGGAAGCTGATTTCTCGAACACTCTCAGCGTCTATAAAAGCTAGCTAGTTATCCTCTCCCCATCTTTTCCGATAGCTGGCTAGGTTGCGTTTGGTTGGGGACCAACTTCTGAAGAAGAATACAGGGATATTTCCACAGCAAGGTAAGACATGAAAGACAATTTATGTTCCAACACGATGATGAGAGTGTGTGTCACTATCCAATTAATAGAGTCTGTGTAAGTCCAGACTATCAACATAATATATTCAAATATATTTTACCATCAGAATAATTCACTCAAAACATTACAATTGCATTGTAATGTGTAGGCCTAACGACGTTATTTCAGAATTAGTCCGCTATTTCAGAATAGGCTATCACATTCTCTATTAAAGTTGACCTATAAAACCTATGCCAATACATCCCAATTTGGGTCTTGACTGCCACACATGCTTTGATAATCCATTTCATAAAATGATTTTAATAACGTCACTTCACTGTAGACATGACAACTATCCATAACGATTTGGCTAATATTTATTCAAATTGGAAATTCATAAAGATTCACATTCAAACTCGTTATGGTACCCGGTCGCGAGAAGGAGATTGAGATAGGATGGAAACGTATGATCGATGGTGCTGGTAGTTTCTAGAATCATGTTATTAGCCGCGCGACCGGCAGGGGGAGTATGTTTGGCCGTTGCACTCGGTCAGTTTACGCTGAGATATGGAATAATGACTGAATGAAAATCAATAAAATATATCCGTCCTTCTAAAAACGGTATAAGCGCATCATCATTATGGCTGGTACTTACATAGTCTATCAGCAATGTGGAATGTAGAATATTTGATTCCATTTGATTCTATTCTAGTGCACCTGTCCATAGTAGAAAATGATCAATTTATGATATGCCTATCAATTTCCTTACAAGGAATTTATTTAAGTTTTCTCTGAAATAAGTTACCTAAAAAATGAAAGCAGTAAGCTCACCACATGGCAAGGACCTGTGGCTTCTCTGCTGTTGGTTTGCACTGGGTGGATTACAGTAATTAAGTAAATTCAGCAGTGATAAACAGAGAGGACAGTCTGTTACACCACCTGTTTGTCATAGCTTTAAGACTGAAACTCACTGCCCAAATGTCAGTTCCAGCATTGTCTAATGATTTTGAGAAAACTAGTATTGTGCCAGTGACATCCCTACTACACTCTTAGGAAAAAAAGGTGCTATCTAGGAACTAAAATGGTTTTTCACTGTCCTCATAGGAGAGTCATTTGAAGAACCCTTTTTGGTTCCAGGTGGAACCCTTTCCACAGAGGGTTCTACTTGGAACCCAAAAGGGTTCTACCTGGAACCAAGTAGGGCTCCTGTGTATATAGGCAAGTTTTTGTTACTCATTGTGTATTTATTCCTTGTTATTTTTTTCCTATTCTTTTTCCTACTATTTATATTTTTTGCTCTACATTGTTGGGAATGGCCCATAAGTAAGCATTTCACTGTTAGTCTACACCTGTTGTTTACAAAGCATGTGACCAATACAATTAGATTAGATTCTACCTCGAACCAAAAAGGGTTCTCCTATGGGGACAGCAGAAGTACCCTTTTGGAACCCTTTTTTCTAAGAGTGTAGTGAGTCTCACTGACTCTCGTTGACCGGAAGTAGGCTTGCGGACTGTCATAACCATACAGTGACTAACATGCTGATACACAGTGTTTTATTTGGGGATGGAGTAGATATTAATTTTTTTGATGGTTGCAAGGGGCTGTTTGCTCAGTGTGTATCATTAAGTCAGATAGCACAGCTTCGGCTGCACTAACAGTCAAAGGAGTGATGCAAGGTGTCGGAAAACAATGACGTGCCAGGGCGTGTGTGTAGTGTCTCCTTCTCAGTATGTGTTTACGCTTAACCCTTATTCATGACTCCAATTCCATTGTATTACATTAACTTATTGGACGCCCCCTTTACATTGCCTCTTAACTGATGACGATGTGGGCGTTGAAACTACGGAAAGCCATTCATTTCCAATGGAAGAGAAGCGAAGTGGGTAGAGGACCGTTGGGGCGATGCGAGCATGGGCGAGGGACGTGATCAGAGCGGGACCAAAGTTGCGGAGAGCTGAACTTTATGCTATTTCTCCGCGACATCATGGCACGCTCGTTTCGAAACCCTGTGGCGCAACATCGTGAGACTTCCAGGAACGCTTGCGAAACAGACTAGGCCGAGGTTTGCGAAGACAATGAGAGAAGTGTAAAATTCTTCCTCAATTGTTAATAATCTCGAAATCTAAAGGCACAATGTAGATTCGAACCACTGTCTTTAAGTAGTTGAACATGTTATTACTCCAAGCAATCTCGTGAAAGTGATACGTTTCATTTTCGTCAAAAACAACTTTATATTGAAGGAGTACCTTTGATTTGAAGCCCCGATGACGTATTTCTGCGCATGAGTTAAGCGAGCCAAAGTCACCATGACAATGCCACCAACTGTGATCGGGGATTTCTATTGGAGAAGCAGTTTTTGCCTATATTCATACTGTACTGTCTTTGCTAGTGTGGCGAGGTGGGATATAGCCTACCAGTCAAAAGTTTGGACACACCTACTCATTCAAGGGTTTTTCTTTATTTGTAAAAAATTTTACATTGTATAATAATAGTGAAGACATCAAAACTATGAAATAACACATATAGAATCATGTAGTAAGCAAAAAAGTGTTAAACAAATCAAAATATATTTTATATATTTGCCAAGAGTGTGCAAAGCTGTTAACAAGGCAACGGGTGGCTATTTGAAGAATCTCAAATATAAAATATATTTTGATTAGTTTTACACTTTTTTACTACATGATTCCATATTTGTTATTTCATAGTTTTGATGTCTTCACTATTATTCTACCATGTAAAAAATAGTAAATGAGTAGGTGTGTCCAAACTTTTGACTGGTACTGTAAGTGCTAGTTAAAAGGTATTGTTAACCTTGTGAGGGAAATCATTTTTAAAATACAAAAGATACACTTACTGTACGCAGTTTAGGAAAGTTGCACCTGGCTGTATTTTCAAGAACACTGCCTCCAACAGAGACTACACTTCCTCCCCTCCAATTCTTGCTTCAAAACGTCTCCTATGGAGCATAACTGGGGAGGAAGTTTCGTACCTCAGCTGGGGGCTGTGTTTTCAAAAATTCTGTCAGGTGCAACCAGGATGTATCTTTTGTTTTTGAAATATTATTTATTGCTGTTATGAAAGTTAAGTTCCAAATGTTTCCAAAAAACGATTCAAGGATTCTAAATGTTAAAACAGCTTCTGGGATTGCAGTTCACATGGAACCAGCTGTTCTCCATACCATCAGCTGAGAACCCAAGACAGGGACCGTCTGTAAGCCAACTTGGGCCCCCTTGGGTTCTCGAGAGCTAGTTTATGCTCAACTGGTGTGTTGTGTTTCCGTTCCTCAGTGTGTTTGTGCTCAGCATGTGTTGTGTCTCCTCCACAGAGTGTGTTTACAGTATATTAATTCAGCGTGTGTTGTGTCTCCACAGATGCCGGAAGCCCATGACACCCCGATGGAGGAAGAGGCAGAGACCTTTGCCTTCCAGGCTGAGATCGCCCAGCTGATGTCCCTAATCATCAACACTTTCTACTCCAACAAAGAGATCTTCCTTAGGGAGCTCATCTCCAACTCCTCAGATGTGAGTACTTCAGGTACCACAGGCGTTTAGACTACTTGGTAGTTTAGTATTATTTGATGATTTACAAAATACACACACACAGGCATGTTACTTTAATTACTTGTTTATTACACCACTATTCATATTTTATTACATATCTATAGATAGTTTATTAGGATGTATTCATATTTTATTACATTAAATATTGACATAGCCTGCAGAATACATTTACATATAATTAAGAGTTTTGTTAATCTAATGCTGAGGCCAGTGTGTTGTCAAAAGCCAGATTTATTTAGACCTATTTATTTTCATTAAACTAGGCTCTAGACAAAATCCGCTATGAAAGCCTCACAGACCCGTCCAAGATGGACTCTGGCAAGGACCTGAAGATCGAGGTCATTCCCAACAAGGAGGAACGCACCCTGACCCTGGTTGACACCGGCATCGGCATGACCAAGGCCGACCTGATCAACAACCTGGGAACCATCGCCAAGTCTGGCACCAAGGCCTTCATGGAGGCCCTGCAGGCTGGAGCCGACATCTCCATGATCGGGCAGTTTGGTGTGGGTTTCTACTCTGCCTACCTGGTGGCTGAGAGGGTGACTGTCATCACCAAGCACAACGATGATGAGCAGTACATCTGGGAATCCTCCGCTGGCGGATCCTTCACTGTCAAAGTCGACACGTCAGGCAAGGACAGATTATAACTTTACACTTAACTGTACCAGAGCTAGGCCTACATGTTATGAAATGAATTGTGTGAACTGAAGAGATATGTAGGCCTACAGTTACACAGACTGTTGTTTTACTGGTGTGGTCTGTTCTAAACACTCACTAAACTCCCGTGTCACTCTACTATAGCTGAGTCTATTGGTCGTGGCACCAAGGTGATTCTGTACCTGAAGGATGACCAGACAGAATACTGTGAGGAGAAACGGGTCAAAGAGATTGTGAAGAAGCACTCCCAGTTCATCGGATACCCCATCACACTCTTTGTAAGAACTAGCAGGCATGAGATAGTGGAAACTCCACTGAGTGATTCGGATTGGACAAGTAAATGACTGGACGATAAATTGATGCTGATATCTTTCACTTTTAGCATTTCTATATTGAATGAAAAACAGGCACAGTGAATGTAATATTTCAGCCAACTACCCACATAAAGTCTGCTACAGTACATCAACTCAATGAATGTGTCCCCTAACATTCCCATGATTCTCTCTGTTCAGGTAGAGAAGGAGCGCGACAAGGAAGTGAGTGACGATGAGGAGGAGGAGGAGAAGGAGAAGGAGAAGAAGGATGGGGAAGAAGGAGAGAAGGGAGAGGATGACAAACCCGAGATCGAGGACGTAGGCTCGGACGAGGAGGATCACCATGACCACGACAGCGCATGTGGGGACAAGAAGAAGAAGAAGAAGATCAAGGAGAAATACATTGACCAGGAGGAGCTGAACAAGACCAAGCCCCTGTGGACCCGTAACCCCGATGACATCACCAACGAGGAGTATGGAGAGTTCTACAAGAGTCTGACCAACGACTGGGAGGAACACCTGGCTGTCAAGGTGAGGATATTCTATTCATATTGGCCAACAGAATAAGTTCCCACACTGTTTATTTAATACGTTTCCCTCTCTGATGTGTAAAGTCATAGATAGTTCCAGTATTGGTCAGTTGATAATGGGTGAGGTAATTTCATAATGACAAATATACATGTACATTAAGGTTTCAGTAGTTGACCTTCTGTTTGTTTACTTACACAGCATTTCTCAGTGGAGGGCCAGCTGGAGTTCCGTGCCCTGCTCTTTGTGCCTCGCCGTGCACCCTTTGACCTCTTTGAAAACAAGAAGAAGAAGAACAATATCAAGCTGTACGTCAGGAGGGTCTTCATCATGGACAACTGTGACGATCTTATCCCTGAGTACCTCAGTAAGTCAGACAGAACTGAAGTAGATGCTCACATAGGTCTGGGAATGAGCTATAATCAAATTGAGAAGATGTCTGACCAATTGTCTCTGTCGTTCTGTCCAGACTTCATCAAGGGTGTGGTGGACTCTGAGGATCTCCCCCTGAACATCTCCAGAGAGATGCTGCAGCAGAGCAAGATCCTCAAGGTGATCCGCAAGAACCTGGTCAAGAAGTGTATAGAGCTCTTCACTGAGCTTTCAGAGGACAGAGAAAACTACAAGAAGTACTACGAGCAGTTCTCCAAGAACATCAAGGTCAGTTTTATACTTTTTTACGTAACAGTATAGAACATAGTAAAAATGGATTGCATTATTTATACAGAGATTCTCACTAGTTCTTTCTGACAATTGATGTGTAGCTGCACCCACCACATGGGTGATACAGGGCAGCCATTTTGTGCTAGCAGGCTTACCACACATCAGCTTTCATCATTATGTAACATTGCCTTCAAGGTCAACCTGAACTGAACTTAGGATGCATTAGTCACCTTGTATTTAGTGGTAGACATAATCTAGGTGGATACTATGATGACCCTTGTCACCACCTGTTCTTTTAAGAATCCTTGGGGAACATTCTGAAAGGTGTAGCTGTAGAATGTTCCACTAACCTTTAACTGGTCGTCACCTGTCTGATCCCCTCGCCATCTTGTCTCCTCTAAACCTGAGATAAGCGGCTTAGCCCAGTCATTCACAGAGCTCCTTACCACCATCTTCTGGCTTTCTGGAGTGGGTTTAAATGACTAGGGTCAGACTCTATGGCATATCATTACAGTTATTGCACATGTCTTAATGTAAACCTTGGATTCCATGTGGAAACAATCTGCAGGGGGTGCACCTTTCTCATGTCTGCCGAAATTATGTGAAATCTGTCTGGTTTTAATCTTAAAGGGGACGTTTACCCCACAATCTATTTTTTGTTTTGTTGCATAAGTCCACTAATTACATAGTTAGAAAAACCTTACTGACAAGTAAGTATCATATTTACAGAACTTGGGTTACTTCCTGGAAAATGTCAAAGTCTTGTAACACATCATCAATATTTTTTGGGAGAGTTGTTATTTAACCTGGGTCACACAGATATATTATTGGTAGTCTTAAATCTACTTTGAAACAAAAGTATACACCTCACACACATGGTTATGGACTTTTAAAAAAGGAGACACCTGTACTATGTCAGATATAGAGTTGAAATGTATTACATTTTGAGTTTGCGTCCCAATATGACACTTTATATACATCACAGAAGACTGAAATATAACAAAACTGTTAGACATAGAGAACCGGATTTTCGTAGTTATATTTTTAAATAATCTTTATTAATTATGAAAAATATGAATAAACATTCCACCCATGAGGCCAAAGAGGGCGCTTTTGGTCATTGACTGCAGGAAAGGGCTACCTAACCTCTCCTGTGTTTTCTCTCTCCCAGCTGGGGATCCATGAGGACTCTCAGAACCGTAAGAGGCTGTCAGACATGCTGCGCTACTACACCTCGGCCTCAGGGGACGAGATGGTATCCCTCAAAGACTACGTCACACGCATGAAGGAAACCCAGAAACATATCTACTACATCACTGGTGAGGAAACACACTCCTCTCTGTACAGCCCAGTTCATAGGTTGTTAGATGATAAGAACCTGGTTTCTCAAGTTGCTTTATCTACTGCATGTTTCAGGCGAGACCAGAGACCAGGTGGCTAACTCTGCATTCGTGGAACGCCTTCGAAAGGCCGGCCTGGAAGTAATCTACATGATTGAGCCCATTGATGAGTACTGTGTCCAGCAGTTGAAGGAGTACGATGGGAAGACCCTTGTCTCTGTGACCAAGGAGGGTCTGGAGCTGCCTGAGGATGAGGACATGAAGAAGAGACAGGAAGAGCAGAAGTCTCAGTTTGAGAACCTCTGCAAGATCATGAAGGACATCCTGGAGAAGAAAGTGGAGAAGGTGTGAGAATGGTTAATCACACTGCTTACATATATCATGTTGCTGAAGGGGTTCTTTATGTTAAGGCAAATGTCAGCAGGCCTGACGTTAACATTAAAATGCCACCAATATTTGCCACTGTATTTACATGCTCACTGACAGTACAACAATTGCCTGATTCAATGTTGATCTGATCCATCTCCCTAATAATCAACCTCTCCTATATTCTCCCCCCCATATAGGTGACAGTGTCCAACCGCCTGGTCTCCTCCCCCTGCTGCATCGTGACCAGCACCTACGGCTGGACGGCCAACATGGAGAGGATCATGAAGGCCCAGGCCCTGAGGGACAATTCCACCATGGGCTACATGGCTGCCAAGAAGCACCTGGAGATCAACCCAGACCACCCCATCGTGGAGACCTTGAGGCAGAAGGCAGAAGCTGATAAGAATGATAAGTCAGTGAAGGACCTGGTCATTCTGCTGTTTGAAACGGCTCTGTTGTCCTCTGGGTTCACCTTGGATGATCCTCAGACACACTCCAACCGCATCTACAGAATGATCAAGCTAGGACTGGGTGAGTTAGTTTGCTCAAACAAGGACCATGTTTGCTGTCAATATATGATCAATCCTAGTCCCTTACATTTACATTTTAGATTTTTTAGATTTTAGTCATTTAGCAGACGCGCTTATCCAGAGCGACTTACAGTTAGTGAGTGCATACATTTTATTTATTTTTTCCTTGCCTGTACTCCTTTTGTGTTTGCTGATCTGAAGGACCCATGTTGGTGTAATCAATAAGGTCATAATGGCTCCATCTAGCCCTCCTTCGTTTTCTCAGCATTAAGTGGCCTAGATATGAGAGAAAAGCTTGTTTAAGCTTCAGTAACTGACCGAGAAAAAAGCTTGTTTAAGCTTCAGTAACTGACCGAGACGCTCAATTCCCTCCCTTCCCCTGTCCAGGTATTGACGAGGAAGACCTGACCCCTGAGGAGCCAACCTCAGCCCCTGTGGAGGACATGCCTCCCCTGGAGGAAGACGAGGACACATCCAGGATGGAGGAGGTTGACTAGACCAACTGACTCAGCTGCGGTGTTATAGCTTTGGCCCTAGTAATGTTGTAAATTAAGACAGGATTACTTTAATGTTTGTTCATGAGCCTGGAATTTCCCCCCTTGCCCTCCTACTCGATCCAAAATACCTTGACCCGCATTGATCACATGCAGTTCAGATTCATTCCCATAAGTGTTAGTGTTTACCTTTTTATTTTGAAGGAAAACAAGAGCCTGTTGACACTACTTTTGTATCTTGAGTTTTTATTATTGACATTCCAACTTTCTTTTGTGTGTTGACTTGACTGTAAATATTTTCTCAAATTGATACTGTAACTTGAAATGGTGGGACCCAAAAATAAAGTGCACCATGTTAACCAATTCCATTCCTTCCTTTTCGCAATTTATGTTGTTGAATGAAATTAGTTCTTTTAGAGATTTAGTTAAATACTGTACAAATACTCCAAAGTTTGAGGTGATGAGATACAGCTTCTTTGGTCACTTACTGTGCTGAGAAATACTTTGCATTACAATAATTTAGTCTACGATAACAATTACACAGTACATAATTACATAGTTGCATATCCTGTGCATGCACACCACGAATGGAAGAGGAAGAACGCCATAATCTGAATAAATATGCACAGCAGTGTGCGAAACCTACACTGTCTTGCATCAGAGAGCTTGGCCACCAGATGACATCTGCGTCCATGATTCTACCCCACACAGTGACTGAAAGAGGTCGGCATATTGAACATTATGATAAGGCACTAACTACAGTAGCTACTAGTAATAGCTACATACAAATATTTGCTAATGCTACTAGTAATAGCTACATACAAATATTTGCTAATGTGCAAGGTTATTTCTTTATGAAATAGATATGTCGTAGTCAGAGCATCTGACACCAACATACAAATAATACTTTATAGATAACTGTTGACATAAGAATTCTGAATGGGTCTCCAGCAGATTAACATAAAAAAAAGTTACCACCACACATTAAAAGGAAAAACTGCTACCTGCCACGTTGGAGAGGGAGCCAGAAAGACTCACCCAATGACTGTATACTTTACTTATGCCAACCAGCCCCTGCTGTAATTTGTCTCGCTGGCAGGGTGCTTCCATCACTGAGGCATAAAGAACTCCCTCCCATGCGCTCACTTTCAGAGCGCGTTGAGTCACCTGACAGAAATCAGCCTATCATATGCGAGAGGATAGGCGAATCGCTTGAACAGTGGAGAGTTGTCAGGATTTAGGTTTGGAGTGTGTGGAAAGGAGAACGACGGCGGCTATTTTTGTGCAATGCCGAATAAAGCGAAAAAAGAGAAGGTGAGTTAGGAGTTTGCTTGTAACACCGTTGATACGAATAGTGGAGTGTACAACAAAACTAGCTAGTTTGTTTTAAACTACGAACAGACACCCATCGACGCGATATTTGCAATGTCCCATTATCAGTTAGCTAGCTAACTTGGCTAGCTGAGTGTCGTGGTGAAGCTAGCCAGAGTTTGTAACGAGAAGTAACTAACGTTACAGTATGTACGACTTGTGGTACATGAAAACGCATAGCTAGTCAACGTCTGCTACAAACAAACTACACTTTTTAAAGTCACAGTAACTTGTTCAACTTTAACCGCAACGAAACTGTCAGAAACAACATTAGTTTAGTTAGCGGAAAGGTTAACATTAAATACGGCAGGTAGCTTAGTGGTTAAGAGCGTTGTGCCAGTAACCGAAAGGTCGCTGGTTCTAATCCCCGAGCCGACTAGGTGAAAAATCTCTCGATGTGCCCTTGAGCAAGGCACTTAACCCTAATTGTTCCTGTAAGTCGCTCTGGATAAGAGCGTCTGCTAAATGAAATGTAAATGTTAACATTAAGTACTAGCTAATTTAACGTTAGTCAAAACTGGTGAATAATGCATCCCTCAAATATTTGTTTTCTTTACAGGAGTCTCCTAAATCTGGAAAAGTTGGTAAAACTGGAGGACAAGAGAACTCAGACCATGAGGTAACATGATAAACACTAACATGCTGACCAGACCGCGCATGCGCCATCGAGCGCATGTTGATTTTGTCAACCCACACCAGACGCAATCAGGACACGCAGGTTGAAATATTAAAACGAACTCTGAACCAACTATTAATTTGGGGACAGGTCGCAAAGCATTAAATTTTTGACAATTTAGCTTGCTGTTGTTATTTTACTTGAAATGCACAAGGTCCTCTACTCTTGACAATTCATCCACAGATAAAAAGGTAAACAGAGTTCGTTTCTAGTAATCTCTCCTCCTTCAGTCTTCTTATTTGGACTTTATATGGCGGTTGGCAACCAACTTTAATGTGCATTACCACCACCTATTGCAGTGTGAACCTCAGTTCATCTTTCAATCACCCACGTGGGTATATGCTCCTAAAAAACAACGAGGAGATTGGAGAGGCTCGAGCGTCACAAATAGAAACTAGTTATATTTTACGTTACGCAGACGTTCGTTGACGCGCAGGTGCAGTGTGGGTGCAATGATTGAATAACAATTATTTTGCAACGGGATGTGGGACGTTATAGCACCAACAACAAAATATTAAATAACTTTGGTTTTGAATGTAAGTGTTTTAATCTGGATGCCATTTGGTCTATCCAAGCAGCTGTTTTCAACCTGAATCACATTACATTTACATTTTAGTCAATTAGCAGACGCTCTTATCCAGTGCGACTTACAGTTAGTGAGTGTATACATTTTTCATACTGGCCCACCGTGGGAAACGAACCCACAACCCTGGCATAGTCATACACTAGCTGTAAGTGTTGAAGTCAGTTTAAAAAACATGGTAGCCACTACAATACTGTCCTGTGGATATTTTGTCTCAAATTTTAGGGTTTCCAATCAAAACGCATCTTTTGACTAATAGGTAAAATAATGTGTTAATTGTGTAGATACTCTAAGAAAACCAATGCTCCAAACCTCATGTCTATCATAATTCGTTCAAAAGTTATGGGAGTGTTTACCCTTTTAGGATGGCAATATTTTAGGGTGACTAATGGAGGCCGGAGAAAAAAGCGGTACAAAATCAGGAAAATTGCATCATGTCAGCAAGACTGGGTTCTGTGCAAGAATTAAAGATGGATTATGCAGAAATCTCTTCACCATTTCCTGGCTGCAAAAATTATAATAGTTTGCCTAATTTCAGTTTGTGACAAAACAAGCAAGCATAGTGTAGAGAATCATTCTACCGTCTAACCCTCTGAAATATATTTTCCATAACCAAAAATATTGTATTTTCAGCTGTTTGAAGCTGGTGTATAAAACCTAAAGTAAAAGATGCGAAAACTAACCTTAAGAAAGGGAAGCATAGAAACAGGGCACATAGAACATATCTACCGGTTTTTAGACTTGCTTTCAATTAGAATGACAGATCTATAACACTAATCAAATTTTATTGGTCACATACACATGTTTAGCAGATGTTATTGCGGGTGTAGTGAAATGCTCACTTCTATGTGAATTTAGTGGGGTTGACCAAAAAGTTACATATTGCAGCTTTAAGGCTACTGTCTACCTGACCGGCTCACTTTCCCGTTGAACTCGTCATCTCGAATCTGCAGGACATAAAACAATATAGATGTAAGCTGGACATATCGATTTTGAGACATGACATGTAGTATTTGTTTTATAAATTGGTTGGCTGACAACACAAATGATGCGCGCATCGATGTGGACGGAAGGCGTGCGTTATGATTCTAAATGGTCAGATCACTAGCAACAATGACAAGAAGCTGCCATGTGGGGAATCGTAGGTGGCTCGTATCTTGTTATTGATACCATGTCTTGTTTTGAGGTGTTGACTGATGTCATGTCTATGCTAATATGGCAATTATTCGCTAGCTAACCAACAACTGTAACAATGTATTTGAGAGACAAGTGCTTATTGTGCAAATCTATTTATGTTTTCAATAAATATTTGAAGACTAAATATAGTTTGCACGTTGTCAACAGTCTAAGCCAACCCTGTTTTGCCCCATAGTTGCACACGCATCGGTTTTGTTGCTAAACAACCAACCAGTCTATTTTTAGTGTACACTTTTCATATTAATTTGAAATTCCAGTTTTTTACGTTTTCTCACAAAAACAAGCGTATCTCTGTGAAATGTCAATGGGGCACTGAGTGTATACCAAACTTTATTTTCAAAGCCTTTTACATTTCTTTCAGCTCGTGTCAAGCTAATTTTGCTTTTCGTGACCCGTGGAAACAACTTTGACGACAACGACCACAAAATATAAAATCCTCGAAAGTTGTTACGAGAAACCTGAACCGCTATATCAGCAGAGCTCGGTGCTTATTATCGGATGTATTAGGTTACAAAATCAGACTTTTTTGATATAATGTTATGTTAGAGAAAGACCCCATTGAACGATTCAGAACATTAATAATCATATTTGTCTTGGTAAAATTTATTTTATAACATAAGGAAGTGAAATTTCATCACCAAAGCGCGTTTTCACAGCTGAAAGACAAACCGCACAGACAACCGGTAGAGTAAGTTTAAATGTAATTTTATTAAACATTCTGGCTTATAATTAACATTTACACAATTTTGCAGGCATTAGTTTGACTGTATTACATTTTGTATTACAGACTGATTAATCAGACTAGGTAGCCACTATCCCTTCACTTGGTCAGAATGGATGGGGAAATAATGTTTGCGAAACATTAGCCTTTACCATTGTGCTCTGAGACCACTTGAGATGGCTAGCTATGTCAGTTCAAATCAGAAAATTTACTGAAGACCAAAACAAAGGTGTGGCCTTGAACCCACAGAAACACATACCAGTGATGAAAAGCACATAGAATGAGAGATGTCCCTGGTTAACACCCAGTAATGCATTTCTTTATTCTGTGTTGTCTGCCCCTCACCCCCTCTCTCTGGGGCTTTAATCTGGGGTTATCTATCTGTACTGTGTGACATCAGCCATGCAGCAGATCTGCTAATGCACCAACCTTGTGTCAAATTTAAATCAATGGGCAACAAGCTGTCGCTGTATTACTCCCCCAACCCCTTCCCTGAGTACAGCCAGGCTCCACTCTCCTCTCGGATGCTTGTGGGCACTAGGGCTCTAAGCTTTCGACGTCAATTGGACAATGACAAAAACATGGGAGTCATATTAGACAGGCTGGTTCAGGCTTGGTAATGCCCTTTGTTTAAGCACCAATGGTCTATGAGCTGGCATGATCTTCTCAATGTTTGAGCAGGGTTTAAAAGGGCACTAAATGCAAGCAGAGAGGTCTGTTGATATATATTCTGCTGGTTTCTGAACAGACATTTCTGCCTCTCTCTGGTTGCATATAACTAAACCTATTTTCTATCCATCTCCTGTGTGTTTTGGATGTGTGAACCACACCTCTTTCTCAATCTTTCACCCAAGGGCCTGACCAGCCGCAGTATGAAGCAAATACAGTATATGACGCTATCACGGCTATAAAGCCCACACGCTTATGAAGCTAATGCTGTTATAAGAAGCTAGCACTGTTATAAGAAGCTGGCACACATTGGGTAAATGAATCAGCGGGAGAGAAGACCTTCGGTTGGGTCACATGAGTCAGTAATCTAGGCCCATCATGGGGTCCAGAAGCTTTAGTCCTCCCAGACAGTCAGCCAGCCGGCGGCTCACTAAGAAGGCCTAAAACCCTAAACCCCTGTTTTATAGTGTGAAGGGCAAAATTAGTTTAGTTTCAAAGTTAATTTGACAAATCTCCCCTCCCCCCTTGTTGTCGGGGGGTGTGTGTGTGTGTGTGTGTGGTGATGAATGGATCCCAGCAGACAGATGGGACAAGACAGGAGAAACTGCCCACATTCACCAGATTCCATATCCAACCTAGGGGGACGGGGGACGACACTGGGTTGTGTTCAATAAGGGAAAACCTTTTGAAATGAATAGTCCCTCCCTGTTTGTCCTTTTTCTTTCATTTGGTGTCTCATGAACAAACCCAGGTGCATGCTCTGATCCACCCCTCTACTCTTTCCCCCCCTTCATACAGCAGGGCTCCAACAGAAAAGGCAGTAACAGTGTCCCTCCTACCACTCAGCTGCTGAAGGGCAAGCAGCTGGGTTCCCAGACGCCTGTCAAGAAGGACAAGAGGCAGAGCTCATCCCGCTTCAGCCTCAGCAACAACAGAGAGCTGCAAAAGCTGCCCGCCTTCAAAGGTATGACTGGACCTAATCTAGTCTATTCCTTGCCTTGCCGTAATGCAGCCCATTCTTTTGCCTTCAGAAGTATGACTGCGTAGTACGCCACTGCTAGCCTAGGTTAGTTAGGGCTGGGCGATATATCGAGTTAAATAAATTAGAAATAGTTTTTGACGATATTCCAAATGCCTGTATTGCAAGAATCAAGGTTTTCTCTTTATTTTTTTATGAGCATTTGTCTGCTTGTTCTCATGTTGTCTTTTTGGTCTCGCCTCCTTCGTTCCTTCTGTGGTGTGCACCTTCCCATTTACACCAGAAATCTGTATATAATGACGAGATGCTAATGTCACCGCCCTAACAATGGGAGTTGTTGTCCCAAAGGCGGAAAGGGAGGCGACAAGTTTAGGTAAAAAATAAGCCCATAGAAATGCATTTGGCTTATTTTGGACAGATTTTGGTGAGAGTGAAACCTCTCGCTTCGCCTCTTCCTCTTTGTTTACACACACAAAGCCTCTCACCCTGGCACTCACAACAACAAAGATGAGAGATCACTTCTCCCACTGACAAGCGGTTTGAACTCGCTATTTGCATTTGAGGTTTGGTCCAACAGAAATGGTTATAAACAGTGCCTTGCAAAAGTATTAATTCCCCTTGGCGTTTTTTCTATTTTGTTGCATTACAACCTGTAATTTAAATGGATTTTTATTTGGATTTCATGTAATGGACTTACACAAAATAGTCCAAATTGGTGAAGTGAAATGAAAAAAATAACTTTTCAAAGATTTCTAAAAAATAAATAACGGAGAAGTGGTGTGTGCATATGTATTCACCCCCTTTGCTATGAAGCCCCTAAATAAGATCTGGTGCAACCAATTACCTTCAGAAGTCACATAATTAGTTAAATAAAGTCCACCTGTGTGCAATCTAAGTGTCACATGATCTGTCACATGAGCTCAGTGTATATAAACACCTGTTCTGATAGGCCCCAGAGTCTGCAACACCACTAAGCAAGGGGCACCACCAAGCAAGCGGCACCATGAAGACCAAGGAGCTCTCCCAACAGGTCAGGGACAAAGTTGTGGAGAAGTACAGATCAGGGTTGGGTTATAAAAAGATATCAGAAACTTTGAACATCCCACGGAGCACCATTTAAATCCATTATTAAAAAATTGAAAGAATATGGCACCACAACAAACCTGCCAATAGAGGGCCGCCCACCAAAACTCACGGCCCAGGCAAGGAGGGCATTAATCAGAGGCAACAAAGAGACCAAAGATAACCCTGAAGGAGCTGCAAAGCTCAACAGCGGAGATTGGAGTATCTGTCCATAGGACACTTTAAGCCATACACTTCACAGAGCTGGGCTTTACGGAAGAATGGCCAGAAAAAACCCATTGCTTAAAGAAAATAAATAAGCAAACACGTTTGGTGTTCGCCAAAAGGCATGTGGGAGACTCCCCAAACATATGGAAGAAGGTACTCTGGTCAGATGAGACTAAAATTGAGCTTTTTGGCCATCGAGGAAAACGCTATGTCTAGTGCAAACCCAACACTTCTCATCACCCTGAGAACACAATTTTTCATCGGCAGGGACTGGGAAACTGGTCAAAATTGAAGGAATGATGGATGGTGCTAAATACAGGGAAATTCTTGAGAACCTGTTTCAGTCTTCCAGAGATTTGAGACTGGAGGTTCACCTTCCAGCAGGACAATGACCCTAAGCATACTGCTAAACCAACACTTGAGTGGTTTAAGGGGAAACATTTAAATGTCTTGGAATGGCCTAGTCAAAGCCCAGACCTCAATCCAATTGAGAATCTGTGGTATGACTTAAAGATATTTTTAATTGTTGTGTGTATATTTTTGCTCAGTATATGATATAAACACAGGGGACACTGTTGGTCACCCTGTCCTATTGTGATTAAGTACCCATAAACCATTGTGATATATGATGATATCACCCGCTATTGGCCAACCCCCCCCCCCCCCCCCACGTTATTTTAAATATTTTTTTTAATTAGAGAAAGAAAAAAAAAGGCAGCTAAAATCAAAGTTCCCGGCTGCACAGCACACAACTCTGCTGTCCCCAGAACTGGATAATTATTCAATAATTCAAATTTCTGTCTAACTTTACATTCTTATTAGGCCTAGGCTTCTATACATTGTAGGTGGGTTGTAGCCTACATTGCTAACAATAGACTATGGAAATAGGCCTACTCTACACATGTTTTTCATAAGCTTTACTCAGCTGTATGTTTTTTTTTGACTTCTCATTAGATTTTTCCATCTTGATCTTGTTTGCTAAATTTCACTTCTTGTTGCCTGTAATATTTTGTCATTCAAAATAAAGCTGTAATAGAGAATCACCTGTAGACTCTGACTTTCAAAATTGTTCCCATTTGAAAGCTGCAACTTTAGGACGTTAAACACTTTTATTAGAATAGCCTATTTGAGAAATATCTTCATAACTTAATGCTTTTGATAGGCTGTTTTAATTAGTAGGATTTGGCTTTTGGCCATTTGGTTCACAACAGCAATGAGAAGGCTGCATGAATAATTTATTTTATAATTAAGCTTTCAACTGTAAGGTTTGTTCAAACCATCGTTTTATTTTTCTATCTAACTATTGTTTGTTCTACCTCTCTCATTATTACCTTAGGCCTATCATGTTTTTAGGTTATTCAAAAACAACTTAATTTTTCATGAGGTTGTGCGGCGGGAGAAAGCCAGCATGCATAAAAACCGAAGTCATATTCATACCAAATGGAGAGAAAATACCAAATTAGGCTTTAAAAAAATAAATAGGCTTTGGCTATATGTCCCAGATCATCCAACATTGAGAGAGAAAAAAACAAACCTATTTTCTGACTGGACATTTTGTGCTGCTTTGGTGTAAATCTTACCGCTGTCTACATTGTTCTCTTGCGTTCTGTAAATTAGAAACATCTTGAAATAGGTTATGCAGGCTATATAAAAGGAATAGGCCACTTGGCATGGCCCTGCTGTGGGCTGCCCGGTCAGCTCCTTACTGCGTGGTGCCAGTCAAGTTGAAATGGGCTATACATCGTCTGTCACATCACGATGTCATCACCATCAACGTTGGCTGTCCATCTTCGATATCCGATACTATCGTAATATTTCCCAACCCTAGAAGACACGCAACCACTTTTGATTGACTCTAGTCAACTAGTCTCTCAGGACAGAACCATGTATAGGCTTGGTAAGGTTTGGTTTCCCAGCTACTCTACTGATGCATCTCCCCTGGCCTTGGCTGAGCCTTTAGGTTTAGCCTTGGTAAGCCTTAGCATAGCTGCCTGCCATCTCCAAAAGCCCTCTTGCATTCTTATCTGATGTAAATCACACCTATAAAACACACCGCCACAGTGTTGCGCAAGCCATGGGAACAAACAGTGGATGTACATTACTGATTTTGCGCTGGTTTTAACCCAAGCGTCTATATTTAGGGGGTAATCCAGAGATAAGGCTTTAATGCTGCAGGTCCTTGTGTTTCAGGATGCTGCCGGTGCCTAGATAAGCGGCTGGCATGGAGCTACGGTGTACAACTACAACCCACCTCCCATCCCCTGCTCCTCTCATGGAAAATATCAGCACTGGCACATGCATATCCAATGCAATGCTATCATGTTACTACTTTGAGTGACTGGCATGCAGTTGGCTATCCATGGCCAAACTTTTAAAGATGTGGAAAGTGCACATCCAGCAGATTTTACAGGAGAGACGATGCAGTATTGCAGAGTCCATAATAACTTCAGACATTAGTGTTTAGGAGCTTCTAGAGTTTTATTGTTGCTGTATTTGGACCACTGTGTGGTTCCTCTCCATGCTAATCTACCATGACCTAAACCACCAAACCTCTCTAGGGCAAAGTGGAGAGCTTCTATCTGGCTTCAACTCAGTCTAGAGTAGAGCTTTGGAGACAATCCAGCTGAACGTGCGCACTCACACACACCACAGTTGCCTTGTTACAGTAACCAACCAAGCCAACTGTCTCAGCAGTGATACGGTGTCATGTCCTGTATTCACCTCTCATTCTTCCCTGTCTTCTGTCAGACAGCAGTACTTCCACCTAGGATTTTTTTCAGCAGCGGTGGCAAGGGTAGTGGTGGTGCATTGCTACTAGCGTTAGTGAATTGCTAGTAGCGTTAGCGCATTGACCTGCTAGCTGTTCCATAGACTCCAAGTCATTGAACTAACGACTATCCATTTAAAAGCGTGTCTCGGCAGAGCCACGGCTGCTAAATGAATACAGGGGAAACGCTGGACAGCCTACATTGTCAGACACAAAGGACTGTTATCTCTGATCATGCAAGACCTTTACCATGTGACCTTTATCTTGGATTTACTATGGTCTTTACAACACATTCCATAAGCTCTGATTTGTGATAACAGCTGGTCACGTCCAGCGGCCCAACAACAAGAGGGCTTCCAAGTATTGTCCCATGGGCCATGGATGTTATCAGTGGTCCTGTCCTAACAGGCAGTCAGGCAAGGCTGGTTTTCAGAGCTTTACCAAAGTGCTTGCTCTGCAGACTTGGGCTACACAAAGCAGTAGAGTGCTCCTTTTGGAAAGTTAGTTCTATGTAGCCAAAGAGCTGAGGGCTACACAGAGCTTTAGTAAGTGCCTCTTTTGGACAGCAGACTACAGGCAGGGACAGATGCCTGATACCACCTCACATTATTGCTAAGTGGAAGATGCAGTGTGCACCCTGTTCATGGGGTGGTGATGCCTGAAAAAAGCTGTGCCACAGTCGCAGGATAATGTTGACCTTTTTCCACAGCTTGATAAGCATCAGAAACATGTTATTTTGGGGGAAAAACAACACCACAGTGTTTGACGGGTGGGTTGTTTTTGTTTTTTTCACCTCAACTCTCCCACTGCGAGTGTTTGCCAAAAGGTAGTGAACGAACAACAGCTGTTGATAGTGTGAAAAGAGGAACTGTCCTGGGAGGGATACAGTTTCTCACGCTCTGTCTCCTCCCTCTGCTGGGGAGAATGGGAACTGTCGTCTCAGAGTGGATAAAGTTCACTGTGTGTGACTGTGATTGGCTGGAAGATAAATGGCTTCAAGTTCAGTAGTAGTAGCCTAAAGTCTTTAGATGAGATCTTTGTAATCGAGGTCAATAGAACCTTGAGTGTCAGCAGACTCAAAGGAAGTCTTCAATTCCTATCTTGACTCCTCTTTGAAATCGCTACAAAACAGACTTTGTTAACGTTAATAGCCAGAGTCAGTCACAAGATCAACCCTGTCGTTCTGCACGAATGTAGAGGCTAGCGTGAGTTTATAAATAACTGGAGCCCGTTTGCGTGTGCCAAAGGAGAGTTTAGAGGATAACCACAGACCGATGGAGAAAGAGTGTGTTTGTTCGTTCACGCGTGTGTGTGCTTATTTGGTCTGTATCAGAAGAACAACAGCTCTTCAGACAGGAGAATGCCCCATGACTAGACAGTGGGATGATACAGTGAGTTGGGTTGTTTTGGAGGATTTCCAATTGAGTAAAATCTGTTCACGGGATATGAGTGAGGCAAATGCTACAACATCAGCTTTACGTTTGGTAAGACTGGGCAGAACAGATGGAACTCCAAATCTAGCTAACAAAGGCTGCAGGTCTATATCAATAACTTTGTAGAAAGTTATAGCAACATCAATGCTTACTCACACCTTCCTATAGCCACCCAGCCCAGGACCTACAACATTCAGAGCGAAAAACACTGAGCAGCTAACCTGACTGGTCAAGTTCAGTTTTACCTGCTACAAACAAAGCCAAGGAGTCCCACTTAGAGTTGGGATGTTTTCTGAAAACACATTTTGGTTTACTGGATGCACAATTACTAATTTCACCTAAGGATTTAGGTCATCAACCACAGTAGGAGGAATACATTGACCCTTCTATTTTATTTTCTCTATGCACACACACACTCACTGTATACGCAAACTCTACACACTCACTCGCACGTACTCACACTGACACTCCAACACACACACACGATTAATTTGCTCACACACAACACGCACACACATTCAAACTGACTCTTCACATACAGTCATCATATACGCTGCTGCTACTCTGTTTATCATATATCCTGATGCCTAGTCCCCTTACCCTTAATACATACATACATACATACATCGAGTATCTACCTCTATCACTCCAGTATCCCTGCACATTGTAAATATGGTATTGGAACTGAATCTGTATATACTGTAGCTTACTTTCTCATGTTCTTATTTCTATTTCTCATGTGTTTTGTTATACCTGATTAATTTTTTTATAGTACTACAGATATTGATTACAGCATTGTTGGGAAAGAGCGAGCAAGAAAGGCAATTCACTGTAATTGTGCATGTGACATTAAACACTTACAATGACCATAGTTAGTCAGTCTACACTCCTGTCAAAGTCTTATGAAGCAGAAAGGTCTCACACACACACACACCTGACTAAGAACAATAGACGGATGTGAGCCATCATTGCTGTGTGCATGCACTCTGTGGTGCAGATGGGGACATTGCGTTGGTGTTAGCACTGTAACTGCTCACTCTGGGAGAGCAGCTGAGGCAGAGCTCACTGGCTTCCTGTTTTTTATAATCGTGGCTTCCTGTTTCTCTCACACCTGGGCCATCTGTCCACACACACACACACACACACACATAAGCAGTGAATACTGTGTTTATAACAGACTTTTACTGAATGATAATCAATGCTTCCCTTCAAGTGTTGCTTGTCGTTCACGTCTCTGATCATTCACTGTGTAATTATTGTTATGTTGTTTGAAGGGAAATCCACATGTTGTGGCTCCAGAAAGGCCAGATAAAGATATAGCCTAAAAATGTCAGAACTGACCTACTTTGTATGATGTATCAATGGACTCTCTGTGCTTTTCCTAGAGTGAAGATAAGGAGGTGATATGTATTAGGATAAGCAAAAAACTCTGCATGTTGGGAATGTAATGTATTGTAATTTGTGTGGGGGCAGGGTAGACTAGTGTGCGTGTGTGAGCCTGAGAGGAAAAGAGATGAGGGGAAAGGTTAGCTAAGCCTCAGTTAGCCAGACCTCCTGCCTCTGCTCCAATCACAGCAAAGGTCCTGCCCCTTCCCCAGCCCACCAGCCAATCCCCTGCCTCAGCCCACCAGCCAATCCCTTGCCTCATGGTTATGCATTCTAACAGCCTTCCCCATGTGACCCAGGTTGGCCAATCAGGCTTCTTCCTAGAGGGATGACATCACTAACGAGCCTGTTCCCTCCAGCAGCAGGGCAGAGCTTCATTTTCTGCTCTGAGTGTTTGGTGCTAAAATGGAGGCTGGCTCCTCTCCTTAGCCTGGGCTACCCTATCCTTTCCTCTACCCCAGCCCCTAGATGTTGACATGTACTAGAGCTGCCAGTGCGATGGTTCTGGATGCACCAAACTCAAATGGGCCTTTCCAGCCCGTGGCCCTCATGCATTTTAGAGGTGAGCAACGCTAGCTGGCTGGCTTTGTCTGCGTATCGTGTGTGTGTGTGTGTGTGTGTGTGTGTTAGGGGGAGGTGGACAAGAATGTTGCCATTTACCATCTGTAGCTTTTTAGTGTGCTTTGGCGATAGAAACAGTTTGAGAGTAAAGCCTGCTTTAGGAGGCAGGGAAGGGTGTCTTTTGTTATCTTTGTCTGGGCAGCTGGGGTGTATTTGGAGCAGGAAAAGGAGGTTGTGTGTGTTTGTCCTATGAAAACTAGGATCGCTTAGTGAGAGCGAGCGATGGGAGGGGGGCTAGTTTTACTGCCTTCTGCCTCTCCCATCCCCCACCAAGACTGCTGATGTCAAAGGAAGACTGCTGACGTCACAGCCGTGTGCATGCGTTTGGTGTCGCCCTAAAGCGGCAGGGCCCTTTGGCTATGTTCTGTCCCTCGCAGTGGAAATGGTTTCTCTTTCATACATCCTCCTCAGTGTTACACCGCAGCTTTGAAGGAGAAAATGAGTACAACAGCAGCAGACTATGGTGAAAGTGTGGACGTGACTTGAATTCATTGATGTCCTTTTGCTGCTGGGTTGAATGTCTCAGAACACCATCGATATCAACATAAATTGTCCCTGTTCATTGTAGGCTATACATAAACAGAGATACACACTGACTTGAAGTGTGCATCTCTGTTCTCCTGTAATCATTTTTACTAGCACCAAGCTGTCATGGTGAATTAGGTTTTAGTCAACTGGGTTATTTTTTTGCTTGGCCAGGAACACAGGGGAAGGATATAAAATCACCCCATCCTATTTATGATGGGGGTGTTAATAATATCTCATTATCGACAATACGTTTGGTGTTTTCTGTTTTTGAAGAAACTAGTGTTTCCTGGTTGCAATATGAGTAAATGTTTATGGAAACTGTATTATGTGTTGATGGGACAGTACACTAATCTTGTTTTATTATGCATATAGATTTTGCCAAGACATCTGTGACCTGCTGCTGCATATTGATATCATTACATTTTTGGGGGGGCAATGCATTATGCGTCAGCACTCGTTCAAATATCCATAAAAGCTAATGGCCACTGGCACTGTTGCGAGTAGTCTAGTGAGACACTGTAGTACTGACACTGCCGTTTTGGCTTTGAGGTAGGGACTTGTGTTATTATACCTAGCCATGAGAAATGCATTTATGCCATTTATTAGGCATATAAATGATGCAAACATTCAAAGCAGTTGGTTTAGGGAGAGCAGTCCACACTTTCAGCTTGGTCTAAAGCATTGAGAGTAGGCCCTTCTTGCCACACTACAGGGCTGTTGCAGAGACCCAGTTTAAGCTTACTACTGGACTTAAAAGCATTTTCAACAGAGACTTTCCACCACAAGTGCCTTGGCTGAATCTGGGTCTGTGCAACCACCCTTCAGATGTGCTTGTGTTCACTGGGAGTTCTGATGAAGCTGGTTCTAGATCTCTGCCTTTTACACCCGTCGAGAATGTTCAGATGCTTTCTCTTAAACTGTAAATGCCTGTGGGGGCATAAAGGTCATGAGCCCATGCACGCACGCTGTGTGTGTGTCTGTCAGCTGTGTGTGACGCACGCCACAGCGCGTCCCTTAATATTTTAGGCGTGTTGAGAAACCCTTGTACTGTTGTAAGGGGAGCAGGGGTACGGTTGGCATGGAGGAGAGGATCATGGGACACGCATGTTAGAGCAACACCACGTGCCTCAACACACCTGAGACAGGCATGTGCCACAGCAGGAGCAGCGTGGTGCAACAAGAGATAGACAGGGACCTGTTAGAACAGGGCTGTCAGGTAGTGTCTTTTTACTTTGTGAATAACACCGGTCTAAGGCCTAGTTTAGGTTGGTGCACTACTCATATTTCATATGCAAATTATTCCCTTTGAGTGAAATGCTCAAGGTTTGCTGTGCTCGATGATCAACAGCCCTCGTCCCTGTTTGCGCAACCTTTTCTGTAGGATTCTCTCTGGGGTTGCGTCCCAAATAGGCTCTAGTCAAAAGTAGCCCATTCCATAGGGAAAAGGGTACAATTTGGAACACTGCCTCTTGGTCATGCTGTGGGAACTGGGAAAGGCTGAGAGTGCCAGGCAGTTTGTTGTTTCAAGACTACATCAAGCTTGTGACTCTACAAACTCATTGGATGCATTCGCAGTTTGTTTTGATTGTGTTTTGAGTCATGTTTTGCCCAATAGGAACTGACCTTTAGGTTACTGGCCCAATGCTCTTAACTGCTAGGCTACCTGAAGCCAGGGTCCCTCTGTAACTTTCTCACTCATCACCATTCACGATTCAGTCATGATTATCCGTAATCATGGTAGCATCCACATTCATGCTTACTTACAATAAAAGTGACTAAAATGACACCATTATTTACCATTCACTTCCTATTGGACAAAAGATAATCTGAAACGGAACCAAAACTAGCTTTAAATGCATCCAACAAGTTTGTAGAGTCACAAGCTTGATGTAGTTAGTCATTGTGTGCAAGGAATGTGGGACCAAATAATACACTTTTGACTACTTTAATAAAGGTGAAATGTTTCCAAATACTTATGATATCTTCAAATGGGGGACTAGATATATAAAGTGCTTTGGTTTCTAAACGGTAAAGCAGTTATGTATAAAAATCCTAAATGCTGGGTTTTTTAGAGCCATATTAAAATATTAGCGTCACTGTCCAAATACATACATAGGGTAGTGTAGATTCCTCCCTCAGCCTTGATATCCATGAACTGCTTGTTTTGTGTGTGTGAGAAGCCTAATGAACAGAACAGGGTTCCATCTTGGATAACTGTGTCATGGCACTGTATCGAACTCAAGACCGCATTATTATTATTATTATTATTATTATAATAATATGCCATTTAGCATATGCTTTTATCCAAAGCGACTTATAGTCATGCGTGCATACTTTTTTGTGTGTGGGTGGTCCCGGGGATCAAACCCACTACCTTGGCGTTACAAGCGCCGTGCTCTACCAGCTGAGCTACAGAGGACCATTATCCCTATGAGCTAAAGCCAAGGCATTTTAGTTATGGGAGCTCAAATGTATCTTCAAGTCTCAGCTAGCCAGGCATGGTTAGGCTACCCATCATGCGAGCGTAGTTTGGCCAAAAACTCACAAAAACATAAACCAACAGCAATACCCAGGGAAGATATCTGAGGGATTAGAATTGTAATCTGGGGCCGTATGTATCAAGTGCTGATCTAGCATTGGGTCCCACTGTCCATACATTATGATCTAAAAGGCACAACTGATCCTGGATCAGCACTCCTACTCTGAGATGCTTGATACCTACAGCCCCTGGTCTCTCTCCTGTCTCAGTGGTGATGTACAGATAGAAGCAGTCAGGTACAGGTAGGTCAGTAAAGCACTAAGCTCCAGGATCTAGGCCTACACTGAGACGTTGCAAAAAAAAAAAAAATGAAAGGCAGTCATTTCATAAAGAAAAAAACATTTGTGTACTTGAACAGGTTAAAGGCAACATTCTGAGTGGTTTACCAGAATGCACTGTCTGAGGCCACGAGAGACCCATGTTAGACTGCATCTGTCTCCTTTGCAGATTGGAATGGTTGTGTAGTGTATGAGGCTGCTTTGTTCTAAACATTGATTTCTGTCCGGCTGTTTTGTGGTCTGTCATCACATGCGCAGTGCACACAAGGACAGAAGGCTGCTGCTCGGCAATGAGTGTGCAATAGCTAGCTATCTACGCGAGTGAGCATTCATCCAGGAGACTGATAATGAGTGGTTATTTGGAAGTTAATGGTTTTATGGTGGCTGTCACACTGTTCTCCTGGAGCATGATTGAAAGCATTTACATTTTGTATTCGTTCATTTACATTTACATTTTAGTCATTTAGCAGACGCTCTTATCCAGAGCGACTTACAGTTAGTGAGTGCATACATGATTTTTTAAATTTTTCATACCCCGGTGGGAATCGAACCCACAACCCTGGCGTTGCAAATGCCATGCTCTACCAACTGAGCTACATCCCTGCCGGCCATTCCCTCCCCTACCCTAGACGACGCTGGGCCAATTGTGCGCCGCCCCATGGGTCTCCCGGTCACGGCCGGCTACGACAGAGCCTGGATTCGAACCAGGATCTCTAGTGGCACAGCTAGCACTGCGATGCAGTGCCTTAGACCACTGCGCCACTCGGGAAAACCACGTTCAGCAGGCACTGTTGTCAGGAGTGACTCAGTGTCTTAGACGGCTTTCTATTAAACTATCAATCACTCATTCCTGTTATGTGCATGTTATTTTACACTTTTTTTAGGAAGCTGCTGCCCACCCTCCCCCTCCCTTCACATTTCTTATGTATCTGCTGCTCAACCTCCCCCTTCACATTTCTCTCTTTACTCACCCTCTTCTGAACCCTCAACCAATTGGATCAACATGATGATGTAGCCTATGTTTCTGCCTCATATTTCTGAACAGCAGAAATAAAAACCCAGTGTCTATTTGAGTTAACTTTCCAAAAATAAATGCATTTTGTAGGGTGATTTAGGCTACAACCTTCTGTCTGTTGTAACTAAGGCTATTGCAGTAGCACAAGAAAGGCGAAGTCTACACATTGCATTGGGGCAAAACAATATGCGTTTTAACCACAAGTGTTGTAGATTAGGGCTGGGAATTGCCAGGGACCTCACGATACGATGTTATCATGATACTAGGTTGCTTGTACAATGTGTTGCGATTCGCTACCACAATTTTGTGTTTTGATGTTCCAAACATATTGCTCTCAGTATGTCTGCTGCAGAGAAATGAGAGCATAAGAACTAGTTTTGATCAGTCAGGGAAATAAAAGTGCTGAAAACAACATGTTGGCTCACAATTTAAAAAGGTGGAGAACAAGCTATAGGATGAAAAATACCAGAGTTGTGGTGCAGGTACAGCTGACTAGCGCTAGCTAATGCTACCTACAGTAGAATGATTCTTATTTTTATTTTTTTATCGTTACTTGGAGTCAAATCATTATAATATTGTCCCAAAATAATATCACGATATGTAACTAGCGATTACATTTTTTCCCCATCGCTATTTTATATTTGTGATGTGATCTGTATACACCCTTTCAACTGTCAAAACAATAACACGTTCTATACGCATGCACAACGAAGAGGTTCCCCAGTAAACATCCGGCCCTCCAGCGTGCCATAATTGCTAGATAGCTAGTTGGCTAGCTAGCAAAAAAGTTTGATACGAACGACTTATATAAACACATTGACTTGATACCAGATCCACTAAACAAAATCAGATAACGTTTATTTCACGTATATTCTCTGTTTGCGATGGTGTTGCATTTGGTTAGCACAGCAAATAACACCACAGAGCTAGTGTGACGTGAAGGTAGAGCCAGCAGTGTAACTGTAGCTAGCATTATGAGTCCAGTGTTTGACGGCCACATTGTTTACATCAAAAGTTAACGAGCAGCAGTAAATACCCCACTATCAACCCCTCATCAATCTGTCACTCAGCTCTTCGTCTGCTTCCTCCAAAACGCAACTATATTTTACCCAGATGTTTTTCCCACTTAGTTTCTATTAACACTAGAAAAGCCTGGCCTCTGTCAGTGTTGCCAACTCCTCAGTAAGGAAAGTAGCTATTGGCTGTCCTAAAAGTCGCTAGAAATCGCTAAATGACGTCATCACCTAATTTGCATAATTGGCCATGTGCATGTAATTGTGATGGACGCTGTAGGAGAGAGGAATAATGTCGTGGGAGAGACAACGTGAGTAAAAAAACACCCTACATTTACATCCCGCCCTGAATGTAAGCCAGGGCGGGATCAGCCAGCGGCGGCTTCCCGCATGCGTGATTCATTTGTAGTCTGGACGCGGAGGTGTGAACATCTCCTGCTCTGACTGCAGCTGGGACGGACTGCTGCGTGAGGACTGGGCCACCTGTGAGTGCTTTGGGACGGGGGTAACAAAGCACCCGCTGCTCGTTGAGAAGAGTAAGAACGATACGTGCTTTCACGTCAGTCTCCAATAACACCAGAAAGTCACTAGTCGCTTTTTTGAAAATGTGTCGCTAGAGGGGTCTGAACTCGCTAAATATAGCGACAGTCGCTAAATTGGCAACACTGCTCTTTGTGTATTATCGACCACCTTATGAGACCTAGCTAGTGGTTTGTTTACAGTAAAGCTAGACTATACAGATGCTAGCACTGACACTTTGTGGTGATCATTTTGAACTGCATATCATAACACCAGGATGGTACATAACATTACGTTTATTTGAAGCAACATTTGGCGATTGTATATAGAAATTAAATCCAATTCACCTTAAAATATTCCTTTCTGTGCACACCCTCATGATTGTGGTATTTGCTAATAATGTCTCTCTCCTGTGCGTGTCATCCTTAAGGCCTACAGTCATTACGAGGGTAGGGCTAGCTGCAGATTGTAACAGAGTCTCAATGTCTGTGTCCAGTTGAATTTAGAAAATGCTCTGTTATAAAATGTATTTGTTTTTGCACCGTGAAGTAATCCAACAATGTATACGCCGCAATCTTGTCTATTTCAAATTTTCTCTCATTGATCGAGACCTGTGGGTCCACCCCAAAGTGCCGCATTTCATGACACTCACCTGTCTCTTACAATGAGAGAAGATTTGAAATAGACAAGATGGCGGCTTACACATTGTTGGATTACTTCATGGAGCAAAATATTTATTTATTTTAGTAGCAGAGCATTTTCTAAGTTCAAATGGGCCCCCTGCAACTGGACATGGACATTGAGACTCCTGTTTCGTGAAATAAGATGGTATCGGCAATACAAGGTTAGTTAAATCTCTGGCAACGTTTTGTATAGGCAAACCTGTAACTCCCAGTATAATGGCGACCAACGTTTTTGGGTTAAATCAGATCTGGTGTTACAATCTGTAGCTAGGGTAGGGCTTGCACTAATACATTTCATGACTGCATGTAGAGTAGTTGTAGAAGTCAAATCTGGTATCCTTCAACATGGTTAGCCTCATTAATTGTCTAATGAAAAAGGAAAAAACCCCACACTCATCTTACCAGTATGAGCCTTTTCTTTATCATCAAATGATTCCCACACAAGTTACCTCAGATGTGAGTGCTTTTACTACTTCTAATAGTATCATTTCAAATGGAGAACTTGTCAAATAAATGTAAACAATGTGTGAGAATTGACTAATCCTGTTTCAGTATGGAAATGACAAGCCACATGCATTGGACATGCCCACAAGGCCAATACTAATCCCATCATATGTCTGAATTGGGCATGCATGCCATAAATCATCTCTCATCCACTGTAAGCAATGGAACCAAAAGGGTAGTGCATGGATAGTGGTGGCAAGAGAGAAATACCCTGGAGAGTGACCACAGTGAAGGGTCACTTTTACAGCAGCTCACCTCCGCTACAGTCCTTAACCTTTCACCACCTCCTAAGCCGCCGACAGTATAACTCAGCCACCGACTGTGATCTGAGTCAATGTAGCAGAATTAAATATACCCGCAAAATTAATTGTTGGAGCTAGATTTACTCCGTTCAGTCTGCTCTGCTGGCTGCTGAGGTTGATGCGGAGAAGGAGGAAGTGAGTGTAGTAGAGGGGTAAGTGTGTAGCACGTGAGCTAGTTTACAGGTGAGTGCTAGGCTCTTTCTCTATTCGTCCTTCCTCGATTCCTTGCCGCCGCCTCCTCAACCCATTGTAGAAGAAAGTCAGAGGGGAGGAACCTTTTACCTTCTCCTCCAATACAGTTGTGATACAATACAGGTGAGGAATCAAGGAAAGACAAAGTGAGACAAAGCCCTAGTAGCCATCGTGTGGGGATGTCACCCGCCCTGAGACCTAAAGTACTGTTATCCTAGCCCAACCAAGATCATTGTTTTGGTAGGATAATGGATGCTGCTTTTTGGGTGTTATCCTAGCCCAACCAAGATCATGAATTTGGTAGAATAATGGACGCTGCTTTGCGGGTGTTATCCTAGCCCAACCAAGATCATGAATTTGGTAGGATAATGGACGCTGCTTTGCGGGTATAAAGTGCTGTTGTGGACAGGGGTTGCATCCCAGGTCAGCCATACAGGGATTGTTACACCCACACCAATGATCAAGGAGATTAGCTGCACATCTGTGCAATATCATCAGATAAAATGAGTGACAACCAAATTAAACCGACAAACAGGGAATGTTAATTGACCATAAAATACACTATACTTAATTCAAAGAATCAACACTTTATTTCATATAATGCAAAGAACACCTATGTAAATGGTTAGTTGGTTTATACATCACCTTACTCCAAAACAAGATAATTTTAATAGTTAAATTCTCTTTTACAATTAATAAGCAGAATGTCAGGTGTTAGGGCTGGGCTGGAACAGAAACCTGCACACCCAGTATCTAGATCTCTAGGAGCAAGGTAGGCCATGAATGTTCTAAGCCTAAGCATTGTTACTTTAACAGTTCTTGTATTCCTACAACAAATTCTAACAGTAAACCAGTAGCATATAACCCATTGGAGATCTAGCCTTCTTGTCTCTTCAGGACTTGGGACTTTCATTGGGACCTTCATCCGCAGACAGGGTTTAGCAGCTTTCACAGGTCTCTGTACTGAGGTTAAGAAACACAGAAATTAGACTGGAACTTGCTTTATTATTCTCAAGTGAGATATATGTATATAATGTAATGTAATGTATGTATGTATTGTTGATATTTCGCAATATTTTTTGTGTTATATCTTTGGGACTGGAAATGTGTTAATTATCTAGCTTAGCTACTAGCTAGGTAGTTAATATTGTTTTTAGCATATAAAGCTGTTTGTCATTAACTAATATTGGATGGCTGTCTATCCTATTTATATGTAGCTAGCTAATGTTACCTAGAATAGATGGTTAACTTGATAAAGAACTTACCTGTTTGCTACAAGTCATCCTGGCGCCGCCGCCTCCTGCTGCTAACGTTACTATCCAATGGAGGCACTACATCCTGCTGCGATGCTTCTTTGGGAAATCTATCAACTTTAATTTTGAAAAAATAGATTCCTTCCCGGTCGTAAGGACCATCCCACCCGTGAATAATATGGTCAAATGCAAATGTTGTCCTTGAAAACAACTAGACTAAGTTAGCTAGCTGTTTACAGCCGCGATGGAACAGCTGTTGTTTACAGACCGGAAGTTCTTTGGGTTCCAGGGATCACTTCCGCTCCTCCTCAAAAAGCAATTAAAAAAGGTGTACAGTTATGCTGCCATATCGTGGCCTTAGCTGCTGAAAAATAACACTTACTTTGACTGCTTGTCTGCCCCCTGCTTTGACAATGTTTACAATGATGGTGAAAAAAGAACATTGCTATTTAGACTACCTGTCTGTCTTTCTTGTGTTTTGATATGCTGCCTTTAGCTTGCCTAAATAGCTGCATGTGCTCCCTCCTGAAAAAAGAAGGGTCCAGGAAAAGTTGGATCCGCAGCCACTCCGTTTGGTTATTTAGCCTACAGCTTTAGCTGCAAATGTGTTTTTCCGGCATATTTTGTCAAGCAGTGAAAAGGAATTTCCCTCGTGAGGGGAGGACAACGTATGAATCTGACTCTCTCTTTCTCTCTCTCCTCCCAGATGTCCCTCCGGCAGAGCAGGAGAAGCTGTTTGTCCAGAAGCTGCGTCAGTGCTGTGTCCTGTTTGACTTTTTGTCGGATCCTCTGAGCGACCTGAAATGGAAGGAGGTGAAGCGGGCGGCGCTCAGCGAGATGGTGGAGTACATCACCCACAACCGGAACGTCATCACAGAGCCCATCTACCCAGAGGTGGTGCACGTGGTCAGTAGACAGTCACAGTGGACAAGGCCTTGCCTCATGCACTTACAAATGCCTATCATGCCGTTTGTTTCTCCTTCCATGCTGATTGTGTGGTGAACATAGGACTAATCAAGACGACATTGATACTGTCCTCATACACTTGCTTTTAATGTTCACCAGAGACAACCCAGTGTTTCCCCTAGAGGTCTTGTCCTGGGTCGGGTGGAGGTAGACCTATAAGCCCCTCATACAAACAAATATTTTGTGCATGGTTCTCTGCCTTTATTGACATCATAACCCTGCCATCCTCAAACAATCACAAAAGCCATAAACCATTTCAATCAATTGAGAGAAGCTTTCAAATCCCACAAAGTTTCCACATTTCTGTTGTTTTTTTTGTCGGTTGCCTGTGGCAGATTATTTCAGTTCTAGTTAATGTTGTATTTTAGTTCCTGAGGCATAGGCACTCCCCATTCCTTATCAGATTAACTATGTGTGAACCCAGGGCATAATGCAACTGCTTAAAAAAAAGAAGTGTTTTATTTAACGAGACAAGTCAGTTAAGAACAGATTCTTCATGATATTATTATTAGTCATTTAGCAGACGCTCTTATCCAGAGCAACTTACAGCTAGTGAGTGCATACATTTATTTTATTTTATTTCCAATGACGGCCTACCCCGGCCAAACCCAGACGACGCTGGGCCAATTGTGCGTCTCCATTTGGGACTCCCAATCACGGCCTGTGATACAGCCTGGAATCGAACCAGGGTCTGTAGTGAGGCCTCTAGCACTGAGATGCAGCGCCTCAGACAGCTGCGCCACTCGGGAGCCCCTAAATGTAAATTAGTCCATGCTTTAAGGCATCCGCATGCTTCCCAGCCGAAACAGTTCACAAGAGTTTGTGCATATATTATGGATACTTTTGTTTTTGTTTGTTTTTGGACTTCGGTGAGGGTTTTTTCGGCTGTTCGGGCACACAAGCCGAGGTTCGGAGCCTTCGTCGGTGATTGGTCAAAAGTAGGGATTCTTCAAAGTCTTTGTTGTCATTCAATGAGAGACAACCTTGTTTTCATGCAACATATTTCATTGAGAAATACTGCACCAAACATCTTAGTTGGATGTAAAATTGCGCGATTAAAATCCACTTGGCAAAAATGTTAATTACAGATTTCTTGAGTTATCGTAGATTAATACTGACTATTTTGAGGAAGTGCATACTGGCTACGGTGTCTCAGAATGGACAAACAGTAGTATTGCTGCTTTTTTCTAGTTTTTCAAGGCAAGGTCTTTTTAAGGGAGTATACGAGCACGCTCGTTCGGTTCACCTAGCCGACTTCGGCCAGCCGAACTGAAGCGTACTGACGCCTTTACATTCACCGGACTTAAATCTTATTGGTTAGCAGTAGGCCTGTTCTCTACCAGTATTAGCTTGCTAGCTGTTATCAGCCAAAGGCTAGCACTGTGGGCTCAATCTGTTTTAGGCCACATAGTTGACTAAAAATCTAATTGGTGTTCATCATCATCGGTTCACCTACCTCTATAACAGTCTCCACGTTGTCCCCTCAGTTCAGCCCTGGTTAGCAGGTCAGGCAGCCTACTAGCTGTAGCTGAGTGAATGAAATACTGGGTCTGTGTAGTAGTCTAAATGTAAACGAGTCCATTGTGGACATGGCTGCAGATGTGGTGCTGCCTGCCAGCCAGGTCTGAATGAAAGCCTTTGATGTTTATCAAAGCAGGCCTCAATGCTACGCAGGAAACCGAGGATGATCGAGGTGCAAATGTCCCCCTATTCTCCTGATCCTGCCTCTATTTGATCAGTGCAGCAGAAAATGCAAGGCTGCTGCCAAATCCGCATAAAAATATGTTATTGGTTTACTTTAGTTCTCCCCTTCCTGCCCCCTTCACTTTGAAGTGTTCACTGCTTTTAACATCAAAGTATGGAGAGAGATGGACAAAGTGCACTGTAAAGGGTGTATTCTTTATGGTTATAATAGGCCACGACGGACGGCTCTTTGATAAGTGCACTATTGTTACAGACGTATCGGCTTCAGATTGGTAAAGCGCTCCCTGTTCATATGACTTGGTGGTCCATTAGACTGACAGTTACACACTTTGGGGGGGGGGGTAAAATGGTTTCTCGGAACGTAAACATTGACAAGCGAGTGCATGTTGACCTCTGCCTGCTGGGGGTGTGGAGGGATGGAGTGTTCGGAGAGGTGAGAAAAGGCTGTGAGATATAGAGAGATGAGAAAAATAGTAGACTAAGCTTCGACCTACGTCTACTCTGACAGACGGAGTGATGAAAAGAGAGATGTCTGCTGCTTTATTGGTTGTGGGAGATGGACATAGTGGTGAAAAGAAAGCAATTATCTAGGCTACTTGTTTTGTTTACAGAGATGGAGAGAGAGGCCTTGTAAATGTCATCTTAAAGGTCCTGTCATTCTTTCCTCTACTCTCTAGTCTGCAGCAGTAGTGGGTTTTGCTTCGTCTTTTGGCTGCATTGACAGAAAAGGTTTTGAAATGTAAAAATGATTACATAAATGAACAAGAAGAAACAGGCTGATGGGTGAAGAGGTCAGATGAACATCTGTACCGTTATCTTCTATTTAGTTTGATACACAATACACATTAATCAAAAGGTCCGTTTTTATGTCAATGTGAAAGTGCCAGAGTTTGTTATAAAGCTGATCTTTGACACCTGTCGGTGATAGCTCTGATGGTAGTAATATGTGGTGTTCTGTTTAGTGACCTGTCTCTGTCCTTCAGTTTGCAGTGAACATGTTCAGGACGTTGCCTCCATCATCCAACCCCACAGGGGCTGAGTTTGACCCGGAGGAGGATGAGCCCACGCTAGAGGCCGCGTGGCCACACCTACAGGTACACACACACACACACACACACACACACACACACACACGTACATGAATGAACGCACACTGTTTCATACCACTGATGTGTACGTCTCTGCTCCTCTTTCTCCAGCTCGTCTATGAGTTCTTCCTCCGGTTTCTAGAGTCTCCAGACTTTCAACCAAATGTAGCCAAGAAGTATATCGACCAGAAATTTGTAATGCAGGTAAGCACTGGTCCTTTCTTACTGGAAGTAAAGCAACATGGGTTGTGTGTCTGTGTGGGACTGTCTGTGAGTGTGTTTTTCTCTGTGTGTGTGTGTGTGTTTTGTGAACAAGTGTTGTAAGGTCACTGTGTTGTCTCCATAGCTATTGGACCTGTTTGACAGTGAAGACCCCAGGGAAAGGGACTTTCTAAAGACAACTCTGCATCGCATCTACGGCAAGTTCCTGGGCCTGAGAGCGTACATCAGGAAACAGATAAATAACATATTTTATAGGTGAGTAAATGGCCCTAATACGGCACTGTAGTCATATGTTGAGTCGTGTCATCATCGGAGACACTTGACATGACGAGTGGCAATGTTTTTAAATGACCATTCATTTCACTGGTCTGTTTCGCTTGGTCTTTTGTCATTTTAATTGAGAACTGTCAATTCTTTGCAGCTTCATTTATGAAACGGAACATCATAACGGAATAGCAGAGTTATTGGAAATATTAGGGAGGTATGTCAAATTGTAATTATTTCCAATAGTTTTTGTGCCTACATTGTTTTGCTGATCACCTGTATTATATTGCTGATCACAACCTTTTCTCTTTCTGTCTGTTTGCAGCATAATCAATGGGTTTGCCTTACCGTTGAAAGAGGAGCACAAGATATTCCTGTTGAAAGTGTTGCTGCCTTTACACAAAGTCAAGTCCCTTAGTGTCTATCACCCACAGGTATAGTGTCTAGCCCCATCTCTTAACCCTCCCTTTGGTGTAAACACGTTACTGTTAAAGAAGCCTTAGGCCTACTTTAGAAGAAACCTTTTGATATAGGCCTACAGTGTTATAGGTTGTAATACATGTTAATTCCAGTTGTAGTAAGCGTTGTTGACATAATAGTTGTAGTTAATATGCTCTTTTGTGTGTCTCTCTTTCTAGCTGGCGTACTGCGTGGTGCAGTTTCTAGAGAAGGACAGCACCCTCACAGAACCGGTAAGACATCTTCCAGTTCGCTGGGCAAATATCACCAGTCCCAATGTGTGAGATTAGTACATTGCTCCAATGCTGGTTCAGTGTTAATGTGCGAACCGTCTTCATAGACTGTGATGGCTCTGTTAAAATACTGGCCAAAGACCCACAGCTCTGTGTGCGACTAGTTAGTGCTGTGTTAATGTATGGCTCTACTCTTCTCTCCTACAGACAGTGATGGCTCTGTTGAAGTACTGGCCAAAGACCCACAGTCCAAAGGAGGTGATGTTCCTCAACGAGCTGGAGGAGATTTTGGACGTCATCGAACCCTCTGAGTTCGTGAAGGTCATGGAGCCCCTCTTCAGACAGCTGGCCAAGTGTGTGTCCAGCCCGCACTTCCAGGTGTGTTTTGTGTTGTTTGCTCAGGTAGTGTGTTGCCCGTGTGTTAGTGGTTATCTGTGCTAAGACGTTACCTGACCAAGCATCCCTCGTGTGTCAGGTGGCAGAGAGAGCGCTGTATTACTGGAACAACGAGTACATCATGAGTCTGATCAGTGACAATGCCGCCAGGATCCTCCCTATCATGTTCCCCTCGCTCTACCGCAATTCCAAGACCCACTGGAACAAGTGAGTCACTCTGCTAACAACTAACTACCACTATGGTGCTGCCTCTCTTTCTGGGTCTCCGTTTACTGCCCTATGATAGGGAAGTGAACAACATATGTTTTATTGTTACGCATTCCTGGGTTCATACGTATTTGTGAGCGTGTCTCTTTGCGTGTCTGTGTGTACAGGACGATCCACGGTCTGATCTACAACGCCCTGAAGCTCTTCATGGAGATGAACCAGAAGCTATTTGACGACTGCACACAGCAGTTCAGAGCAGAGAAGAACAAGTAAGAAGCCTTAACTTATACACACCTTTCTCATAACTATTCATTTATTCACAACGTCCACCCCACGTGTTGCCCATGACTCTGAAATGACTGTTGTTCCCCTGTCGTCGTGTGTGCGTAGAGAGAAGGCCAAGTGGAAAGAGCGAGAAGAAGCGTGGGTGAAGATCGAGAATCTGGCCAAGTCCAACCCTCAGGTGAGCACGAAGAGTCGCTATTTGTCTCTGTGCGTGTTACTTCAGCCCCGGTGTCTATTCCTCTCTCAACCCAGTAGTCCAGCACCTAGTCCCCCACCACACCACAGGACAGAACAGCCCAGGCAGCAACAGATAAATAGATGTACTCTATGGCTGTACTCTGTGTATGGCTCAGAGGCCAAAAACCTCCCAGCAGAACCTGACACACAGCCAAGGCTGGAAATCCTCTCTGACACATCATCATATATTTTGACCAAATGATCTAAAAAGGTATATCATTATCTTTGGTTCTGGGAGTCCCTCATCACTCTCTTGCTGGGTGTACTTACTGATATCTCATTATAATCCTTCCCGCTTTCTCTCTCCTTGTTTAGTTCCTGGTGTATGTGGACCCGTCAGGCCTGGGTAGTCCCATGGAGACAGACGGACCAATGACGATGGAGGACTTCAACATGCTGAAGAGGACTATAGAGGATGAGGCCACACAGGTACTGTGGGTTTGGAACAGTGTGTGTGTGTGTTCCTTTCCTCTGTCCTCCTCCATGCTGTTACTCAGTGCATTGCATTAGTGTGTGTGTTCACGTGAATGTCCAGAGCACAGTGTCTCCCTCACTGTATGAAATGTAGCACCAGTGTGACATTTAGTAGAACTCATCTTGTGGGCCATCTCACACCTTGTTGCAGTTTTAAATGGGTGGAGAGACGGGATATGTGTATGAGCAGTGTAGCACGGGTAGCATGGGCCCTGGTCAAAAGTAGTTCACTACATGGGGAATAGTTTGCAATTTGGGACGCAATCTAGGTTGTAGGTGAAGAACAAGGTCAGGGAGAGGGCTGTGAGTGACGCACTTATTGACAGGATCAGATATAGGCAAGCTCACATTTCAAAGGCAGCGGAGAGCTGACATTAATGAATGCTACACCGTACTGTAGTGTACTCCCTACAGCAGTGGTTTTCAACCTGTGGTCTGTGGGTGTATTGCAAGTGGGCCACACATATATTTTAATTTATGTATTTGACGTTTTTTCTTCCAAAATAATGTTTGGAGTATTAATAGTATTATAAGCAATTTTTCATAACTTATCACAATGCACATTGTTTATTATAATAATTATAATAATAATAATAATAGGCCTTTAATTTGTTTTAATTCACCTCTAAAATTTACTAAATTTTCCTGCCAAGATATTTTATTGAAAAATGAAAATGTGACTGCGAGTGATTGTCCTCGAGAGCTTTTGACAGTGATTTGGTAGTCCCCGGAAAAGGTTGGGAACCGCTGCCCTACAATGCACAGCATAGTGTACACTTCATGCAAGACTACTACATGTCTAGGAGGGTTTCGTGATCGCTGATGGATTGGGCTGAGTTAGCGATACAATATGAAGCACTTTGAGTTGAGATCTAGTCAAGGCGTGATGGACCTAGTGAAATGTGCTATTTTTCTATTTTAGCGGCACTGAGTAGTATGAAGGACTAGAGAATGTTTGTTTCAGGGGGTGAACTCACTCTGGATGTGTAACCGTTCCCTTGTCTCTTGGTGCAGAGGAACCTGTATGGGTGTGGGATCAGTCCAATGCTTTGATTACACCAGGCACTATCTCTAACGATAAACTACCGGAGATCATTCGTTTTCAATGGGGGGAGGAGACACGAGGATACATTCAGCAACTTAATGGTCGGCAACTAAGAATCCCACGTTTATGCAAATTAGCAGCGACCAATAACCAATCAGAGGAGGGTCTCGCTAGCTAGCTTCGACACCGTGCTGGATAGGCTAACAGCCAACGTGAAGTTGTGGTTGCTATTTTGAGAATACACCCAAAAATGGGAGAGCTTGGCAATTTCTTACAATGTTGTAGCTTTTGGTATGAATGGACTATGCGTAACTGTTCTCCCTCTGTTCCTGCCTGTCCCCGATAGCTCCAGAGAAACGAGCGTAAGGAGCGTCCGCTGGTCAGGAGGAAGTCTGAGCTGCCTCAGGACATTTCCACCGTCAAAGCCCTGGAGACGCACCGGAGGGCCGAGGACATGGTCACACCACACGACGGCCACTAGAGACCCCACACACACAGTACAGTCCGATGCATACTGACGGACACAATAGGACGGATGGACATGACGGACGGACCAGCACCCAAAGGCCCAGAACAGTCCAGCACAGAAGAGAACAGAATGACCTGGCTGAAAAAAAAGCTGCAGCTCAAACCAAATCAGCACAACTCTACTTAGCCCAGTCCAACTATGACAATTGCTCCCCAGTCCACTCCAGCCCTGCGCAACAGATGTCAATGGCACATGACATTATGGCATGACCAAACATGACATTGTTTCTCTTGCCCCACCTCCTTATCCTTCTCTCTGTCCCGCTCTCGCTGTCTTGTAAAAGCGCTCCAGGGTGCAGTGGTGCCCCCTTCTGGTAATTTCTCTCAGGTCTTCTTTTCTTGTTTTTATTTGTTGGTTTGTTTCTGTCGTTCTTTTTCTCTCATTCAAGATGTCATGTGTTTTGGCAATAGGACTGGCAGACAGACATGTATTATAGGCGCATACTGTACATAATGGGTGGAGGAAGAAGCAGCTTGGTAGGGGAACACTTTCTCTCTTCTTTTCTTTCTATCTCTCTCTACTTGAGCATAGAAAGGAAAGCACCGCACTTCTTCCTCGGAGCCCCATTACAGCTACTATTGCCATGAGCTTTACCTTTCTATCTCTATGTATTTTTCTTTGTTCTGCTATGACTGATTTAATAGGAGGGGAAGCATTGGGGACAGTCAGCGGACTGTGTCTGTTGGTCAACAGACGTTGTAATAAAGTTTTGTGGATCTAAATGTGCTGGCCTGAGGAAAGTTGAGGCTGAGGGACAGGAGGGGGTTCTTCTGTCCTCTACTGGACGTCTGCTGGTCTGTACAAACCTAGTTTGGTGCCAACTTCACTTTCTTTCTTTTTTGCTTATCCCCCCCTTTATTTTATCTATATGATATTGTAGGCAATAAGTTGACCCAGGTTGCAGTGTGTTTGGGTTGTTCACACAATGGTCAATGGTTTCTAAGCCCGAGGACACAGCACATTCATGGTTTTCTGGATCCATTGAAGTTTACTGTCCATGTAAACGCGAAAGACAGACTCGTCCATCTGTGGTCTTCACAATCCCTATCAGTCTTTCAGTCTTCATTAATAATCAGTATTGATCAATATTATCCAACTCCTGTCATGTTATTGTTGTGAAAACTTCAAGGTCTAGTTTTGTAGTTCAGTGTTTACAGACTCCCATTTGAGTTTTAGGATGTGAGTGGGACAAGAGGAACTAAACTGGGCTACACACAGAGGAATACTCATCGCTGGTTTTTCTAATCTTCATAACCAAGACCCCTTTCTTTTTGATGTTGCTGCTATGTGTTAGCAAGTAGTAGCCTCGTTCAGTCATAAAGACCATTCTGTCTGGAGAAACTGAGTTGAATTTGAACACAAGCCTTTCTTTTCATAGTGCCTTTATTGTACAAGGGGGGACATCATCCTAAACTGAGAAAGAATAGAATAGCAACGTTATCTGAATGCCAAACCATGTTAAATTTATCATTAGCTTCCCAACAGACTAGAGAGACGCGTCAAAACACACCGAGAAACACACACTGCCCTAGAATATTCCGTATTTATTTACATCCGTGTCGAGTGTAAAACGCGTACGAGCTGTTTAACTAGAGTTACATGCCTTGTTAAATCTACAAAGCAGATGATGGTGGTTAAGCTAGAGAGGAGTGGAGTAGTCTCAATGACTTAACATAGAAGCACTTCCTGATTTAAAACTTGGAAGAATAAAAAGATCCAAAATGAGTTGAAATCAGTCATGCTATCTGGTCTGCTCGGTTCTGTCAGTTCCTCTGTGTGCCTGATAAATAACGTGTATAGAAGGATGCTTCCCAATAACCTCTTATTCCCTGTTCCATTTAGGTTCTGTCCCAAATGGCATCTTATTCCCCTATAGACCGTGGTCAAAAGTAGTGCACAAAATATAGGAAATAATGTGCCATTTGAGACGCTGCCAAGAGTATTGATGTGTCTGTTGCAGTACCATTGTTTGAGCCCACAGACAGACAAGGACTCTGACTGTATCCCTGTAGAGAAGCTCACTATTCAGGTGGTGCTGCTTTGTATGTGAGACACTGCTTCTGGATGCTTGCAAGGTCTCTTCCTTTGCCTGCAAAAACTCTTGTCGATGTTCAGATTGAATGTGCAAATTGTAAATATACTACAATTACTACCATGGTCACGTTTTGCTGTTTCTTTTTTGATTATTTTATTTCTTAAAGAATAACATTCACCAATTTATGCCATCCCCTCCCACTCCAACTATTCTGCTGTAAATTGACTAAAAGGAAGTCTACAGTGCCTTTTTATAGATGGCACAAACAACTGGATGGCACCAGGGTTGTGGTCAATTCAATTATACAATTTCATAAATTAGGAAGTAAACTTAAATTTCAATTCATTGCTTCTCAAAGGGGAGACTTGGCTCTTCAGTTGACTTCCTGAATTGACAATGTAAATAGAATGGAGTCCAACCCTGACTGTTCCCAATGTCCTGAGAACAGAGGACATCACATTGGTGACTGTTGTTCTTCATCAAATGGCTTTAATATTATAGCTTCTTTGGAGCCCTCTTTATTTTACATAAGCTTATATTTTGTTTTTCTTTCAAAATAATAATACTGCAAGTGTCCTTTTAGTATACATCCTGTACTAAATGGCTTCATCTACTATTGTACATATAATGTACTTTTATTTTATGTTCTGTCTATTATTAAATGGTAAATTCCATATTTCGTACATTTGTACAGGAAACGAAGGTTATTAGCTACTGCAGACATTTGGGATGTGGCACAGACTACAACACATAACTATTTTGGATTTAGAACCGTTAAGAATTTGGATTCTAATATTTTTTATTGATTTGTAATTCAAAATTGTTTGTTTCAGCATTTTAAAAAAAAAGTATGTGAAGAGATCCAACATACATGAGCTTTTTGTGAGCGCTTTTATCCAAAACCAGCGGTGTACATCTACCTATATATAGTAAATAAAGACGTGTTTTTATATTTTCATCCAAGAACAGCCATTGAGTGTTTTCATGATTTGCCTCATTCCTCCTTGACTAGCCTCTGAAGCCCACGAGACAAGATCTGAAAGGAGGCCACGGGAGACTACTCCCGGATTGCATCTCCTATCCCTCTTATTTAGTTCTGTATCTGTGGACACCGATCACTTATCAAGGGTTCAGACTCAAATCTCCGTCACTCAGAATCTGGAGATGACCTTTTTCTTTACACCACAACACATCAACCCTGAGAGAATATTTACAAGTCAAACACCAGACTCGCCTACCATTTAGAATGAACCCATGTGTAGGATGTTTGCCTTCAGTCATGTTATTAGCATTTGACACCCTTATAGTGTCTTATAATCAAATTCACGGGCATGTATGCTATACTGGTATGAGGATATTGGAATGTAGGCAATAATTCTCACTATCTTAAAAAATATATATTACACCACCTACAATTTCTGGAAGCAAGCATTTTCCAAGCATTGAAACGGCCCAGGATCAAGCTCCTAGACTAGAGCTTCCTATTGTAACCCTCTGCTACCATCTTGTGGTTTAAAACGGTCACTTTAACACTGAGCTTCGGAAATCAAATACAAGTAATCTTTAGATCATAGTGCCATTCTGAAGAGATTTGCTAGTCTGGCATTTGTCGTACTATACAAGAGGCCAGTTGCATAAAACTGATTCACTGGAGCATACAGGAAGGGCCTGTTATTGTTTTGACATACTAGACTAATTTCAGTTAGCCTGTTGCATAAATGGGATGACCTACTGACTGTTAGAGGGCTTAGTCAAAGTCTGGGGGCTACACAACTGAATCAGACCAGGGTACAACCAAGTACTCTGTTGAGATTAGTCCAGATTAAAGTGTTCACTCACATTGGGCAAGAGGTCTCTGGTTAGTTTGACGGTCTCTCTGCGATATTATGTATGATGTGATCAAACAGGCTACCTTCCAATGTCCATAGCATAGCACTTATTGTGTATTTGATATACAGTGAACAACGGAAATTTGTCACCCAGCCCAGGATTTGAACCGGCGACCTTTTGCTTACAGGTCCACCTCCTTAGCTTTTGGGCTAGTATGAATATATGACCAGAACCTCAGAACACCATTTCCTAACCTTGAGGCAAAACCTCTACCTCTTCGCTGTTATCTACCAATATAACCACATAGATGAGGTAGGTGTAGGCTATTTCTGTGCTGTGTTGTCTCTGTGCACCCTCGGAGGTGGTGTAGTGAGCCAATTGGCTACACGGTGCCAGCTCCTGACTTAATAGGTTGTTTTAGGGTCATGCAGTTCTCCAGCCACTTAGAGAGCAGACAGGGCTGACTTTCATGTGGCGGCCGCTACCCTGTGTCTAGCACCCCTGCCCTGTCCTCACACCATCCATCCAATGGACCAACACACTCAGCCACACAGGGAATCATATCTATAATTATTATGCTCACTCAAACCCATGATCATTATCAGGATGATAATAATGATTATTGTGATGGTTATGATTGACAAATACAGTAATTCTTTATTTTGTTTTCTGGTCTGTATTGTGTAGGGTGATGACTCGTGTGTATGTCTGTAGAGCCGTTGTCTATAGACAGTGTGGATCACTCCCAGTTAGAACAACATTAGGCATAGGCGAACCTCAGTCTCTGTGGTCATGCCAACTACATTAGGTTCAGTTTTCTCCCAGTATTTAATTCAGTTTAGCTTTTGCATGTTTCGTTATACAACAAATCGTTTTAGGTTAGCAGGGAAAAGGGAATCAATGGTCAACTTCTAAGAACTATTCATCTGTGTCATAATCATTATTTTATGTAAGTGAATAGTGTCCCCGTTTTGACCCTTTTGGAGGTGTTTATTATAAACAAATAATTAGCTTTATCATCGACACATTGCTTCCCATTTATCCCAAAACAAATGTTCTCTGA